CATCTTTAACAATGGTGATAATCAAACTACCCTAGAGATGTTTAACTCAAACTCTCTATAGAGATCTCTCAAATGCAAAGCATAAAGTTTTGCTCAAACAATCAAATAATTTTTCTCTCAAATTTGTTCTCTCAATCTGACATAGCCTCCACCCACAACTAATTAGTATATATAGAGGAAGTGGAAATTAGGGTTAGGATTTTTTTTTTTTTTTGATAACATAGGGTTAGGATTTTTAGGAAACCCCTCAAATAAGTTTGGACTTAACATTGAAGGAGGAAGCCTAACACAATGGACACGGAGAAGCAATGGAAATTTGGTGAGCTGGTTGCCATTTTCCAGAGAAAAAGAATCGTCGCTGGGGTTGTTAGAGAAGAAGGAATCTCTAGAATTTTAATTCCTCCTTTTGAGGGTAAAAAGTGGTCGATCCAGATGCTTGGGAAGATTATTTAAAAATCCCTTCATCAATTATCCAAACGGATTATTTCATCAAATAGTATATTAAATGGAAAAAATGTGTGTCATTTTAAAGGAGGTAAAGTTATGTCATTATAAGAAAGAGAAAGAAATAGATAAGAGAGGAGAGAGTTGAAAAAAAAAATAAAGGTGTGGGTCCTACCTCTTTGTGAGAGTAAAAAAATATAAGTTGTGTCATTTAAAAGGATAAATACTTTTCCCATATTAAATAGCCTGAAAAATTAAATTCTCCTTTAAAATGTCTTATCGAAACACAACGGTCATGCGACTCTACATTTTCCAATATATATATCTATAAATGCTTGAAAAGGATGTAGCATATGCCATTATTGTAATATTGCACTTTTCGAAAACGGAATTTTTTTTAATTTTTAATTTTCGGATATTATCGTTAACTAAATGTTTTTATCATATTTATGAAAATCAAGATTTTTGAATAAATTTTTTTTTCCTCTACCAAACGCCTCATAACTCTTTTCAAATCTTATCCCACTTAATGGATCCTGTAATTTAAATCATAACATAAACCAAAACTTTTTGTTTCTATATCTTTTTTGAGATTTGCATTTGTCTTTAATATGACACAACAAATTTTTCTACACACACAACATTTTGTGGGGCCCACACTTTTTGAAGAAAAATAATAATTACGGTACGCAAACGAATCTCTATAACATTACACAATCACTTTTCCTACAACATAACTCTTATAAAACTCATCTTTTTTATAGATTAATGTTATTTTTTATATTATATTTTAAATAAAAAATAAACAAACAAAATATTATCCGACCACCAAATTTTTAAAAACTTTTAAATTCTATCAACTTTTTATTTATTTTAGGGAAAAATGTTTGTCTTTTCAAATGACACAACTTATGTCATTTCACTCTCACAAAGAGGTGAGACCTACACCTTTATATTTTTTTGTCCACGCTCTCTCCTCCTTTATCTATCTCTTTCTCTCACTTAAAATAATATAACTTTAACTTCTTTTAAAATGATACATACTTTACCCTTTATTTTATGCTTGAAATGCATTTATTTTGTAAAATTTATAATATATTATTGACGTGTGATTTCGATCTTCTATTTTTTTTTTGTTGAGTACGTATGAATGAAAACAAACTAGTAGCTTCTAACATACACTACACCCGTAGAGTCAGCAAGAAGAAGTAGACTCACCCCTGGTTGTGCACTCTCCCAAATCTAAAGGTTAATTACACAATTTGGATCCTATTAATTTTAAATTTTTCAAGGGTGTAATACAGTATTTATTTAATGAGTAGGGTTATATTTATAAATTTTTTGTTTACAAAATAATATATATTATCTGGAAATGGATCCTCTCGTGTGAAAAAAAATATGACATGATCATGCGAGAAGATCACAATCATACAAAGGTAAATCAACGGTTATGATTTTGTAACTATCTATTTTAATATTTTTTTCTCTCCTTCTTTATTACCATTGATCTACTTTTGTATGGTTATGATTTTCCACATGACATGATCATGTGATTTTTTACATTAGAGGATCCAGATCCATACTATTCATATTACATAAGCTAGTTCATAAACAAAAATTTTATAAATGGGTTCACTCTTTCTGCAGTTACTGCAGATAAGTTATCTGCAGTAAGTCCAATACGATGTCGTTTTGAGGCAGAAATCATGTTATTTTTATAATTTTAATTTATTTCAGGGTTATAATAGTCTTCATATTTATATTTTTTTAAGATTTCAATACCAAAACGACGTCGTTTTGGGAATAAATACAGATAACTTATCTGCATTAACTGCAGAAATATTTTTCCCTTTATAAATATAATCTATTCCTGTTTAATATCGATTTAAAAATGAAAAGTATTCAGGTTTAGGGTTTTTTATTGTTGCAAACACATGGGCGTTTATATAACAAATGGGACTCATCATGTGGCATGTGGGGATATGCCGCATCAAGATTCAAGATGCTTGACTGCTATATTAGCTAATTATGTAACTTTAGCATTTCCAAATTTCCAAATTAAGGTCTAGGTTAATATTATACCACCTTTGAAAAAGATTACATCTAATAAAAAAAAAATCGTGCAAATGAAATGAGGACCTAGATTACACAATTAAAACAATAAGAGAATTATAATTATAATTAGGCCAAAAGTAAATTAATTATTATTATTTTTTCTAAAATTTCATTTCTCACTTTCTTTTAGTCATCTTAACTCTTAAGTTGTAAATTTCAATTAAAGCACAATTTCTTAACAAATTAAGAACGTAAATGGCCCAAACAAGTTAATGAGATAATGTAATAGGAACATCTGATCTTAATTGTACATAATATGTAATTTGTATCTGGTAATTTTATTTTCCATAACTTACATAACTCACGAATAAAAAGGATAAAAATAATGAGAATAAAGTAATTTTATTAATTGATATAATTTTTTCATGACGGATACTTACAATCTTTTTTTCTTATAATCTTTTACAACCATTTTTATGGTTGATTTGATTTTGATCCAACAATTATAAAAATAATTGCAAGAGATTGTAAGAGAAAATAAGTTGTAAATATAACTTTTTCATATAAGAAAAAAGTGTATATTAAAGTAAAACACTGCTAAAACCATAAATGACCATCATTATCATCTTAATCTTCAAAATCAACCTCAAATCTTAATTTTATAAAAATATAAGATTAATTGGACAAGTCAATCATTGCGAAAAATTTACGGTACTCCAGTCGCATCACTGACTCGATGCGACGGACACAGACCAATCAAAGTAGGATATTTTATGTGATGCGTGTACAAAAAGGAAAATTATTTTAATCCAAGTTTTACTTTTTTAACGAAAGTTGTAGGTACATTAGGAATACCGAAAATGCTCTCCAATGATTGCTCGCAAAATAATTTTACTAAGGATTTATTATTTCTTCTGTCACATATTTTATCTCACGTATGTTTAGGATGAGAAATTTTTATTTGAGTAAATATCCTTTATAGTCCCTGACAAAAAATACGGTCCCACTTTAGTCCCTTACAAAAATAAATTAGTCACTTAGTCTCTAACAAATTCAAAGTGGACTAATTTAATTGAAATCGTGGTCCCTCACAAATTCAAAAAAGACCCCCATATTAGTCCCTCAAAAGAACTAAAATGGGTCCACCTTGAATTTGTTAGGACTAACTGACTAATTTATTTTTATAAGAAACTAAAGTGGGAACCGTGTTTTTTCTAGAGATAAAAAAAGATCTTTACTCTTATTTTTTTTATCATAGTAGAAATTTACTTAACGTTGTAATGCACTTTAACTGTATTTTTTTTAAGGATGAATCATTTTTGTAGTTGAGGCAGAATATTTTTTTTGTTGCCTCAGTCACAAAACTCACTCTGTCTCTCTCTTTCTCTTGTTTTCCTCTCTCTTTAAATTTTATGTCTAAGGCTCAGCTGTAAAAATAATTTACCCTTTTTTTAAAATGAAAATGGAAATAAACAACAATCCACATATAGTAAAGTGAAATGACTTTTTATTTTTTATATATATATTTATATTAAATACATGATTACATCCTCTTTTTTTAAAAAAAATCTTAAATAATTTTTAATTATTTGTATTAAGGTTTTTTTCTTCTCAAATATGGGTTTCTTATATTTTCAAAATTATGATTGTTTTAAATTTGATTTTTTACATTAATTTTTTGTTATTTAAAATTAAAAATTAATGTCTTTTTTCAATTTTTTATATTTAATTTTTTTATTATCTAATCTCAGTTGCTCCACTGTTATATATTAAATTAGAGTATATCATTTTAAGGGTATCGAAGTCTTTTAGTCCATTATCTTTTTAGAAAAGATATTTATCTAAAATTCAAATTTTGAATTAATTATGCATATATTTTTTATTTTTTTATTTTTGTTCTAAATTTTGCAGATTATACTTGAAATAATAATACATACGTCTCTTATAATTTAAAATGTTTGTTAAATATTTTCTCTTTTTTAATTTATGGTTTTAATATTTTTACATTAAATATTGATAAATTATCTACATTCTCTTCCAAAATAACGTCGTTTTGAGTTAAAAAATTAAATAAAAAATACCTTGAAATAATTTATAATCCAAATATAAAATAGTCACTTGTAGTGTAACTTGAAAAATTATTAACGACGCTTAAAAGTTGAAAGCATTAGCAGACAATTAAAACAAAAAACTATTAAAGATAAAGTAAGAAATATAAATATTTAAATTTTTTGAAATTATTATTTTTTTACTTTTTAACCAATAGATTTGAATACTAATAATTAGAACCCTTTTAATTTTAATGGTCGACAAAACTTTTGCCTCGCTATAAAAAAGCATATGATAGTTGAATGTTCAACTTTTTTTTTTTTTTTTTTGGGGTAGCCCTACTCAAATTTATTGAAATTCGTTGAATTGACATGCTTCGAATAAATTTGAAATTTATTTTGATGCTGTAATAATTTTTTGTGGGAAAAAAGAGTTACAGACAGATATAAAAACTTTATTTGTTTATTTATTTAATTTTCTGAATTTTCTTCAAAATTTCCGTCTGCATTCTCGTCTTGCTCCGTTCTCTCTCTTGAACGAAACCCTTGTTTCATTTCACTCCCTGCGATTATATCCATATAAAACAGAAACCATAGAAACTTCACTCTGCAACAAACCCTAACGATCCAAACGGTCATTGAGGATTTCATGGTTCGAGTCACTGAGTTGAATCGGATAGGAATCTGAGTTTTTCGGTGTTCGGTTGACGCGCTCATGGGTGCTGCGGGCTCCAAGCTCGAGAAGGCTCTTGGTGACCAATTCCCTGAAGGAGAACGTTACTTTGGCCTTGAGAATTTCGGCAACACTTGTTACTGTAACAGCGTTTTGCAGGTCTTCAATCGATACTCTAATCTTTTTCTTTTTTTATTTTATTTTCCGCATTCAATCCAATTTTTAGTTAAAGGTGTCCTCTATTAAAATTTAAAATTTATATTGCTATTTAATATTATCTTTGTTGCATACGTCAATTTATAACTAGTTATTTATGGCCCCTTGATAAGAAGATATGGTGCCTAAATCGAAAAAGTTCATATTTCAGTAGGATAATGATTGTATTATATAGTACGAACGCTTACCTTGTCCAAAATATAAATAAATGCAGTAGACATCTTTAGTGATGGTATTTGAAGATGGGTGTGTTTCTTATTTTTTGTGAAGTTTTTTAGGGTTCTTTACTAACAAGTTACTCATTTTGCCACCTTCTGCAGGCACTATACTTTTGCGTTCCATTTCGTGAACAATTACTAGAGTATTATGGAAATAACAAAACCATAGGGGACGTGGAAGAAAATCTTTTAACTTGCTTAGCTGACTTATTTTCGCAGGTAATCAGTCTTTAGTTTGGAAATTTCTTGGCATTATATGATTGATTCCAATTATTAAGTCAAGTCAAATGTCTATTGAATGGCGCTTACATGCCTATTTATTTCTTTCTTGGTTGAGAATGTAACATATATTTGTTTCTTTTGGTGTAGATAAGTTCCCAGAAGAAGAAAACTGGTGTGATTGCTCCCAAACGATTTGTACAGAGGTTGAAAAAACAGAATGAACTCTTCCGTAGCTATATGCACCAGGTATGTGCTTAAACTGTCAAGAATAAGCTTCCTGCACAAAAGGTGATTATTCTAGAAATCTGTAAATAGTATACTAATGGTGACTTGGCTTATTAGTTTTCTTTTCTTTTTGTGAGGAAATAATTGTGCAACTGATGTTTGAGTGTTCATCTAACAGAAATGATTCTAACTGAGTTTGTAAATTGACAATTTGTTGCTTTCAGATGAGGCTGTATTTCTCAATTGTTTACTATAAATGTTATAATACCAAATAAGTGTATTCATTGTCTATCATTGTTTGTTAGTTCTGTCCGTGAAACTCAATGTACCATTGGTTGCATAATGTCTCTTGTTTTGTCTAGGTCTTTCATTATAAACAACATTGTTATTGTGGATCTAATCTTTTTTGGTAGGATGCCCACGAATTCTTGAACTTTTTGCTGAATGAACTTGTTGACATTCTGGAGAAAGAGGCTCAGGCTGCAAAAACTGATCAAGAGACATCACCGCCTTTTGAAAAGGCTGCAAATGGGCCCAATAATGGTCTCGCTAATGGTTTTCACAAAGAGCCTTTAGTTACTTGGGTACATAAAAATTTTCAGGTGACCTTGCTTTGCCAATTAAATGTTTTCATTTTTGGATGTTGCTTGCAACAAAATTTGGAGGGACCATAAACTTTGATTTGTGAACTTTGTTTTAGACCCATTCAATTAGTGTTCTCTTTTTAAGTGTGCATGTCTTGCTACTTACCAGTTTAGGTTTCTGTCATTTTATGGATAATCTTAATATTGGCTTTTACCTGAATTATTATGTATTTTACTTATTTTATTCTTATTAATTTATTACAAATGAACTTTATTATCACACTTGATGAAAATAATAGGTTGGGGGGGGGGGGGGGGGGGGCTGTTGTTACTCTTATTCTCTTGTTGTCACAAAAATAAGATTTACTTCTATCTTGAGGAATCTCATTGTTGTAACTTGCTCCGATCAGGGAATACTGACCAATGAGACAAGGTGCTTGCAATGTGAAACAGTGACAGCTAGGGATGAAACATTTTTAGACTTGAGCCTTGATATTGAGCAAAACAGTTCAATTACGAGCTGTTTGAAAAATTTCAGTTCCACCGAGACGTTGAACGCTGAAGACAAATTTTTTTGTGACAAATGCTGCAGGTATATGGCTTTTAGGCACAAATTTATTTTCTGTAATTACCTGAATACAATTGTAGCATCAGCTGTTACTCGGTTTCTCAAGTGCTTTGGAAAAGGTAATTTTGAATCATGTGCTTAGCTGAACAATTCTGCCACATGTTTTTATAAAACAACAATAATGCCTTATCCAGCTAAGTGGAGCCAGCTACATGGATTAATTGATGTCATTAAACTTATAGGAAACCAAATCTTCAGAAAAGCATTTAGAGCAAGGTTATCTTTAAGAGGTAAGTTATACTTACAACTTTTTTTTTATAAACCATTTTTGTTATTATTAGATCAAAATCAAATCAACTGTTCTCAATTTTGTTACCGTTGATTTAATTTTGATCTAACAATAACAAAAATGGTTGTAAGGAAAAAAGAAGGTTCTAAGTATAACCTCCCTCCATTTTTAATAGTTTCTCTTAGTTTGGGTCTTCTTTTTTTTTCCTACTCCTTTAGGTGGAGTGAAATAAATTGTTTGTGATGAAGCACAGATGTCTAATATAGCTTGAATATCATGGATTAGTTTATTGAAATTTTTATATCTTTTTCATGTAAAAGTAGAATGCTATTGATGTTTATTGACTAATACTGCTATGTTACAAGAGGTAAACCATGATAGATTCAATATTTAATTGATGATTGACATCTTTTCCATCTGTTATTTGAATGGGATTTGATGGCCATGTCAGTTAGTGTGTAAAAATATATATGTACTCCCTTCTCTGTTTTTCATGTCCATTTATTAGTCTGAAACCAAGATGTGAACTTTCTTATGATATTAGTTTGCAAGAAGCTCAGAAGAGAATGAAGATAAAGAAACCACCTTACATCTTAGTCATCCATCTCAAGCGGTTTAAGTACATGGAACAGCTGGGCCGCTACAAGAAGCTGTCTTACCGGGTTGTTTTCCCCCTTGAGCTGAAATTGAGTAACACTGTTGAAGATGCAGATATAGAGTATTCTCTATTTGCAGTAGTTGTGCATGTTGGGAGTGGACCCAACCATGGGCATTATGTCAGCCTTGTGAAAAGCCATAACCACTGGTTGTTTTTTGACGACGAAAATGTTGAGATGATTGATGAGTCTGCTGTGCAGACGTTCTTTGGATCAGCACAGGAATATTCCGGTAATACAGACCACGGGTATATTTTGTTCTATGAGAGCCTTGGCCCCAGTAACAGGAACTAGACGGGAGGAGTTCTAGACTTTAGGTACTTAAATCATTTGGACTTCTCTTTTTCATCTGGTTTCTATATTTATTTCCCTTGCTACCGTTTCCCTTTATTCAATCTGTTGGAGTAGCTGTTAACATCCTTCCGAGGATACAGGTTGTGAAAATGTATACTTAGGTGGTTGGCATGTACAGTGGATGGTGGTAGCACTGTCCTTTTTCCTCCTTTCTCACAATAAGAGCAGTATATATATTGGGTGGAAATTTCACCTACAATGTGTATTCATGGTTGCAAATGTTCAACCAACATTAGAAACACAATGAAATGGAAATTGCTCCTAACTCATGGTTGATTATTTTACAGTTTGAAAAGAGCTCTAAAACTAGGTTTGTTATAGGTGGGCATTCTTTGGTGAACTAACAGCCCTGTCTTCGGGAGAGCAATAAACTCAGATCGTGTATACAAAGCAAAACAACTACCGGAGTCATCTATTTCGATTAGGCTGCTAGGGGGATGTACCGTATAGTACTGAAGACAATAGTACTGAAGCTTTAATCTAATTGTGAACCCAACCTTAGTTGCTCGTGACAGTGAAGTATGCATTGAAAAGTTTGCTTCACAATTTTATAGAAGCGTTTTGTATTGACATGAGATAAATCTGCACCGCCCATATCTGCATCTGACAGGGAAATGGGAAGCGTGTTTATTTTGCATTATAAGAATGGTAAATGATCCCTTAATTGTGACATAAGTATATATATCTGCATCTGACGTAAGTATTTTTCTGTAAGATGTTAGCAAATGATCCCTTAATTTCCTGTTAAACAAGAGAATGAGAATTATGATTACTATAACGATCAATATACGATATCTTTCTGTAAAATGTTAAAAAAGGACCCCTTAATATCCTGTTGTACAAGAGAATGAGAATTAGAGACTACAACCATCAATATGCGACAACTCTTCGCCTGACTACACTGTAAAATGCTTAAGCCGTTCGGTTAACGGAACAGATGGAATCTAACTTCTAAGTGGCTGAAGGCATGAAAGTATCTTCGTCCAATAATGCTTCAAGATCAGTGAGGTTATCGAATTCTCTTGTTTCTTCTAGATTGTCAAAACCCGTATCATGCTTTACCTGCAAAAGGCATATGCAGAAGACTAAGCTCTACTGCCCATCGGAAGAACAAAATGTATGATGTCAACTGCTGGCGTTCTGCCCATAGGCTCAGCAACTGATTCAGATGGTAGTAATTGTTTGAACAAGAGACACCTAAACACTTTGCATTCTTGATACCTTTATTTTTGTCCTATTACTGAGCATAGAAAGAGATCGACCCAAGTCTACATAGCAATGGGTGATTCTATATTCAAGAAAAATAAAATAATTTTCTAACAAGCTTAAAGGTAGGTCATCCAATACACACCGCTTCATTCAATAGAAGCAAATTGTTTTTACTAGACTTAAATACGGGGATCAAGCAGTATGTCAAATAGACTTGGTGCTACTTGGGTTAAGGCTCTTAGGATTTACTAGAAGCCAATTTCATTCAATGTAAATTTATAAGGGAAGCACAACTCTATTCAGAATTTCAGATATATATATATATATATATATATATATATAGGAATATGATCATTTTATATCAGTGTAAGTTACACTCTTAATCTTAATCGTTAATTTTATTTATATTTAATGATTTTGATTTATTAGATAGTTAAACTATTAGATATAAGCAAATCAACAATAAAAATTCGGTATAAAATTGTTCTTATATATATATGGGTTTAATATTTTTGCTTTTGCTTCATAATTCTTTTTTTTGTCACACTTACATAAAAGTGAATAGGTCTTCTCTTTATAATGGGACCTATTCACTTTTATGTGAGTGGCAGAATTTTTTTTTTCGCAGCAAAAATAAAAACAATTTTCCCCTTATATAAGAATAGGTTATATTTACAAACTTTTTTTGTTTACAAACTACACTATCTTCTCCTGTGAGAAGATTAATTACACTACCTTCTCCCAGGAGAAGATAGTATAATTTGTAAAAATTTATCAAAAAAGTTTGTGAACAGATCATTCCCCATATATATATAGGAAAAATACTTGTTGCAGAAAATATTTCTCTGCGAGCTGTATATATTTTTATACAACTTTACAGAATGAAAACTATTGCTCTGATATACTGTCCAGACAAAGAAAACACAATTTAAAGTGTAACAGCCCCAAAACTCTGTAGCATGATATTGTCCGCTTTGCCCCGCGCACAAGCACCGTCGAGCTCACGGTTTTGTTTCTTGGGACACCCCATAAAAGGCCTCACACTAGAAGAGGTATCCACACCCTTATAAGGCATGCTTCGTTCCCCTCTCCAACCGATGTGGGACATTACATCCTCCCCCACTGGGAATACAGCGTCCCCGCTGTACACACCGGTCCAGGGCCAGGCTCTGATACCAAATGTAACAGCCCCAAAACCCTGTAGCATGATATTGTCCGCTTTGCCCCGCGCACAAGCACCGTCGAGCTCACGGTTTTGTTTCTTGGGACACCCCATAAAAGGCCTCACACTAGAAGAGGTATCCACACCCTTATAAGGCATGCTTCGTTCCCCTCTCCAACCGATGTGGGACATTACATCAAGGCCTCACACTAGAAGAGGTATCCACACCCTTATAAGGCATGCTTCGTTCCCCTCTCCAACCGATGTGGGACATTACATCCTCCCCCACTGGGAATACAGCGTACCCGCTGTACACACCGGTCCAGGAGGCTCTTCTAGTGTGAGGCCTTTTGTGGGGTGTCCCAAGAAACAAAACCGTGAGCCCGTGGGCAAAGCGGACAATATCATGCTACAGGGTTTGGGGCTGTTACATTTGGTATCAGAGCCTGGCCCTGGACCGGTGTGTACAGCGGGGACGCTGTATTCCCAGTGGGGGAGGATGTAATGTCCCACATCAGTTGGAGAGGGGAACGAAGCATGCCTTATAAGGGTGTGGATACCTCTTCTAGTGTGAGGCCTTTTATGGGGTGTCCTAAGAAACAAAACCGTGAGCTCGACGGTGCTTGTGCGCGGGGCAAATCGGACAATATCATGCTACAGGGTTTTGGGGCTGTTACATTTGGTATCAGAGCCTGGCCCTGGACCGGTGTGTACAGCGGGGACGCTGTATTCCCAGTGGGGGAGGATGTAATGTCCTACATCGGTTGGAGAGGGGAACGAAGCATGCCTTATAAGGGTGTGGATACCTCTTCTAGTGTGAGGCCTTTTGTGGGGTGTCCCAAGAAACAAAACCGTGAGCTCGACAGTGCTTCTGAACGGGGCAAAGCGGACAATATCATGCTACAGGGTTTTGGGGCTGTTACATAAAGCAGAATAATTGTGAAACTAATTTTTTTAAATAAAACAAAAATGGGAAAATACCTGATTTTCTTGGATCTCAGTCACAACATTCAAGAGCCTATGGTATTGGTCTCTTGCCTCTGGATACTGAACCATTGACTTCACCCTAGCAAGGGCTTTTTGCAACCTTTTCTCAGTTTGCTTCCTTCCTTCTTTTAAGAAATCATAGTCATCCTCCTTGGAAGATACATCTTGTACCATAGTTCCCTCTGATATGGCCTCCGATTTAAATCCACGTAAACCACTACCTTTTCGACGCCAACGTAAAATAACCTTCTCCATAATTCCAACAGACCAAATTATCTTCCCATAGTTTTTCCTAACCTGGTGACCTCTAACGTGAGCCTATTACCATAAAAACTCTCAAGTTAGAATTAGATCAATTAAAAGGAGTCAGAAGTAGAATATGAACAAACATCAAACACAAACAATAATAGTAACCTCATTTGTATATTACGAACGTTAGACATAGATGTACCTGAATTTTTACTATTCGTTGTCTAATCATCAAAAACTCTTTTCTGCCCTTCCAACCTCGGAATTTGTTCTGGATTCGTATTGCAGCAGCATGGACAGGCTCGTCGCGTTGTCTAACCTTGTTTAGTTTTGCATTCACTGTTACAAGTGAAAGGGCATGTTCATCGGATATTCCAAATTTGTCATCTCCATATTTTGTCAGTTGTTTTCTCTGGAATGATCGCACTCTGAAAACTTCATGAATACGTGCAGCAGCTTGGGTGGCATTACACACTGCAGCCAGTGAATCTTTCAGTGACAGTTCATATGATAAGCCCTCATCATCATTAACTTGAGCAGTGTTATGTCCTAGTGCTCTTTGTACTACTACTTTTGCTCCAGAATTTTCTCCCACTTCCAAGTTCAAATCAAGAGATGAGAGGTGTGCACTTAGGAAAGATTCCGCAAGATACCCTGCAATTCCTTTGTGTCCATTGGCAGAAGCTAGATCAGCTGGTGTTCTACCTGAAGGATGTTCCGGGCATGGATCAGTCAGCGCTCCGGGTGCTGCACCCAGAGAGATGAGGGAAGCAACTGTGCGCTCCCTGATAAAGCAATATGCAAGAACTTAATGAAAGATGACAAGAATCTGCAAGAAAAATGAAAAGAAACCAGAAGAACTAAACTAACAATATAGATGCTTTCTAGTCAGTTTATCTTTCATAACAAAAAACACAAGTGCTTCCTACCATTGGCTCTCTTATTATATTTCTTTCTTCTAGTTTCTTCAGTAACGACATTTCATCCTTCAACCCTATAAGCATTTTAACTACTTATAGGCCCGTTTCACATATTTTCTCTTCCCACTATTCAATTATTTCTCACATACTTGCAGCACTCTTGCAAAGTTGCAATTAATATCATTGACCCGTCCTATTAAGTTAATGTAGTATCAGGTATATTATGGTAGATTAATATGATAAACTGTAAATTCAATTTTGATGACATGCATTCCATGCGAAAAGGATTGAAGTGCTCACCTGCCACAAAATGCTGCCCAATGAAGAGCAGTCCATCCATTTACATCACGAAAGTTCACATTCACACCTGCAACTATTGTGGGTTGTAGGGCCCAATCATAGCCAAGAGCAGCCGCAAAATGAAGCACACCTTGGCCACCCTCATCTAATACATTAGGGCCTTTCCCATCTTCAGTTATTTTCTGAAGGAGCCACGCCTCTAACTTATCTTTCAGAAGATTTTGAAGCAGCTGCTCCTGTAAATTTTCTGGAGAAAAATCTTTCTCTAGAGTAAGTTTCAGCAGCTTGTCCCAATCATCCTTTTCCTCCCTCAGCAAAGAACTGATTTTACTTCTCAGTTGAGATTTCTCAGTTACACTATTTGAATCTATATTCTGAGGGAAGGGATGCCCCAGAGACAACAGTTCTCCAAATCGAATATTAAAAGTATCAAAAGTGCTGCCTCCGTTCTCACCTGCAGTGTTGACTTCTTGATTATAGTTGACTTGGAAATCAAATTCTCGCACTTCACTACATGCTAACCTATTGGAACAAGTTACATAGAAAGGAACCCTCCCAGCCTTGTGTGGAGGAGTATGGCAACAAAGAACGCCATTCCCAATGATCTCTGCTGGCACTTCTACCCCGCCAAACATGCATGACCATTTACAGCTTTCTGCTTCATGTTGACTCCTTAAGAATCGTCCTGAAATGAGAACCTGCACATTTTTTTTTTTTGATAAATGAAGAAATAAATAATCGTAATAGAACTGACAGATAAGCAAAAAAGAAACAGTTATGACAACAATTCAGTGAACATATGTTCAAAACTGATAGCAAGTGGAAAATATCAAAGAGAATACCTTAACTTCTGAGCCTTCAAATGTCCAGCTTGGAGAATAGTCAATAATGCTAAAAAGCTGATCATGGGAAATAGATGGATCCAATACATAGGAGTCTAGGTGCACTTGGGAAGGAATTGTTGTGCTGCCAACCTCATTTTCGTTTTCAACTGTATCCCAATAAGTATCAGAAGTGGATTGTATATTTGATTCTTCCACATCTCCTAGTTCTTTACTCATCCATTGGTTGAAACTGTCAAGCTTCTTCAGACCCTCTTCTGCTGGAAATCCATCTAACAGAGTCTTCTTCAATGTGAAATAAGTGTCTTCTATTCCATCCAGGTTTTTATTGGCCTCCAGATCTGATTTTATCTTGTCTTTTGCATTTAAAACTTTTTCTTGAGGGTCATTTCGCATAAGAACCTTGTTTTGTTCGTGTGGATGTAGAAGACAAAGTTCCAAGGATTTTTGAAAATCAACTTTATTAACTTCCTGCTCACAGTTGTTAAAACCAACCTCACACGTTGAGCCTGAATACACACTATCTATGGGCCAACTGGATTTGCTTAAATAATTGAAACCAGAAGCCTGTTAACAAGGAAAATTAAGCTTTAAGCAATTAAATGAATTTGAAGGAAAGAATTAAAAATTAAGTAACGTGTGTAAATATTACTCATGCATAAAGCAAAAGTCCATTCCTTGATTATTCTTTTATTTTTAAAGAAACATGACACGTAATTAAGCAATCAGTAATGTTGACAGCATCAACCCAACATCACTTTGTAGTGACAAATTAGTTTTGACTTTTAACGTAGAGATATAATGCTCCTATGGAACAGACTGCGGAGCCTGGATATCTACTTTTAGAACTAAATATTATGACTATATAACATGAAATATTGCAACAAATAAATATCATATGCAGATGCAGTACCAATTTTAATTGTACACATAGTTGCTGTCTAAAGTAATTAAGCACACCAGTATTGGTATGACACAAATTTCTTTACCATATAACTCTCCCAATACCTGCCAATTTCCTTCAGCTTGTATAAAACTTCCATTCTCATGCTGTTTAGCAATGCTGGTGGTAAAAAGTGGCCGCATTATCTCATCTCCTTGAGAGGGATTGCTATTGATTCCCATGTTATCTCGTGTTTCAGGAAATGAAGGCTGAAAAAACACATGTTGACTTCCAACCTTATTTTCTAATATATCTTCCCCCGATGAAAAGCCGAAGAGTTTTTGGGATTCATATGCTAATCCAACATTATCAAAGTCTTTGATTTTATTGGCTTGACCGAGTGAGATATAATTCACCCCAGGAGTGTCAAACAACACCTCTTGATCATCTGTCACAGTTTCAATATTACAATTAGTACATATTAGATTGTAAGGTAAGAACTTGCCTGATCAAAGGCCAGTATTTATGGAAGATATAAACAAGAATTTAATTTTGATTCACTATTGGTATTAAAGTTTTTTACACTCATTCAATCATACATTGCCATATCATTTTAAAAAGTTTGATTTTTACAACAATTACCTCAGAACTCAAACTCTTTTAATGATATGGCAACACATGATTGAGTGATAGTGTAAACTTTTCCCTGACAATGAATCAAAATTAAAGTCACAAAACAATTTATAATTAAGAAACATACTTATGAGTGGCAGAGGACAATAAATATCAGCCAGTTGAGATTTAATCTTCTCAACAACAGGGCGTTGCAGCTCCAGGAAAGAGTAGAACTCAGAACTTGCATGGTTATCGAATGCTGTAAACATTGCATTAAGTTACAAAATTAGAAGAGACCCAAGAAAAAGTGATACTGAAAATAAAGACAGAAAAAAGATCACTCAAAATCTCTAGACATGAAAGTAAAACATTTTAAATCATTAATACAATGATATACACAAAAGAAATACCAGATTCAGCTTCTTCATAATCTGATGCTTGAGCCTCGTTCATGCTTGTTGTATCTATAGTTTGTGAAGAGACCTGGTAACTATGTGGATGAAAACTAGATGCTAAAGAAGTACCCATCTCTGTGTTGGGCATTATTTCGTCAGTTGGTTGAGCATAAGGAAGAGATTCTTCATTTTCTTTAGCACATCTAAAATTTGCCTTGGTTCCCTGATTATTTTGAGCAAGAGGAAAAAGAGATAGAAGATCAAGATTATAAATAATTAAAAAGTCGAAAAAAAAAGAAAAGAAAGAAAAAACACATGAGAGAAAAAGAGAATAGTGCACTGTTGTAATGTGCTACCAATTTATAGCATCTAACATTGTAGAAATACATTTTGTGGGGAAAAAGAGAGAACAAAAGAATAGTGCACTGTCATAATGTGCTACAAATTTATAGCATCTAACATTGGAGAAAAACATTTGGTGTTGAGACTTATCAGACTAATGGAAGCATGGAAAGTCTAGTTAGATAATTTGGGGGATTGTTCCCTAAATTGTACTGGGAATGTAAAAATAAGCAATTCTTCTTGAGCTTTCATCAAATAACACTAAAACAAAAAACAACTCCCCCTTAAACCCAACTAGCGAGTGTGGGGTGGAGGTAATCCTTGTACGCAGCCTTACTCTTGCATAATTGCAAAGAGGTTGTTTCCTGGATTCGAACCTATGACCTTTCAGTCATGAAAGAACAGCTTTACCACTGCTCCGATTCGCCCCCTTTTTCATCAAATAACACTATGATGACAAAATGAAAAATAAAATTATAACATTTTACCTGCACTTCGCGATAATGGACAAGAACAATGTGTGAGAGTTCCCTGCAACAATGTTGAATAAAAAGAGTGAGAAGAGAAACCCTTCCGCAATTAGGAACCATGAAAAACAAATTAGCAAGTTATTGAAGCAAGTATAATTAATTTTAACCACTAGAATGTGATCAACAGTTACCGGATCTATATCATTAGTAATAGCTTAAAGCATATCATCCTTAAGCAATAACAATCACATTGAAAAAATTAAGGTATAGGTTTCCTTCATTCCCACTGTCTGGAGATTCTCGTATGTGCGTGAGTGAGACAGAGAGTGAGGGAAGGCAGAAAGATAGGAGAAGAAGGAGGGAAGAAATCAAAGAGAAGAATCAGGAAAACGAACATAGAACATTAAAAAGGAGAATTTATATAGAGAGATTTGAAAATATTAAACAGAAAAACTTACTCTTCAAGCATCCAGTAAGTGCGTCTTTGAAAATATTCATTTTCTTGTCCATGGGCATAGTAGCAGTGTAACACGTCCACACTTCCAGCCTGAGAGTATCATCATTCGTTCAATGCAATAGTTTATAAAGAAGAAAGACGCTCTCAAGACATTTTACTTCCTAAACCAGAATTAATTTCAATGACAGTAAATAAAGCTGACAGCACCTATATTTTTCATTTTAGTTCCAAGCTAGGTGTGAGTTTCTAGCTAAGATTATGACCTTAGATGCAATATATTTACCTTAAGTCTCTCATGAGCTTCCCTCACCGTTTTTCCATCTTTTTTCTTCCTCCAGTTATGGCCATCCTTTCTGAAGTATCTCAGCACCTTCCGATCAAATAGGAAAAGGGAACCACCTAATGTCAAGCAAAAATATGATAAAACCTGAGGATGACCATCTTGCAATTAGACATTGGGCACAACAGTGTGAAAATTTCATGCAGGTCCCAATCCCCATAAGACTTAGATCTTGCAAATAGATTAAAAATCCCTTGTCTTTCCTTCACCCTCACCCTTTCAAAATAGAAGAAAAACACTAAAAGATAAAAATAATTTTTTCAAAAATTTTCCACAAATGAAGGAAAAGGAAGGTATTAAGAACTCAAGATAACTACCGTTATCTTTAGCAGAAGAGAATCATACTTGGTGGCATACATGCTGGTTCTGAAGCTATTCGGAACTTCTTATAATTACTGAGAATTTCACAAATTTCAGCTGGACGCAGCCATCGATGCTGTGCTTCTGAAATAATTTGATTAATATCTGTGTCCAACAAAGTATAACAATTAGATATTTAAACAGATAGGTTTAAATGATGCATATCAGACACCCACGAAGACAATTTAAGACAAAGTCAACAAAAATCAATAACAACGATATACATTGCTTCCCTAACCTAGGCTAATGAAGGAGGAGAAAAGAAAGGAAAAAGAAAATGAAAAACTTCAGTCTATATATAGCTATATGTTGAAGGAAATGCGAAACATAAATAGATTGCACTTCTCTCAAGCGAAGCATTACAAATATCTGTGGCCAACTTGAAACATAGCAATGTAAGTTTGTTGTCAATTGTCATCACAAACAAGAATGCTTCTCTATTTTGGTTGTTTATAAACTAAGTTACCCAAGCTTTATGAACAACAAAGGAAATTCCATGTGGGAAGAAACGATTGTTGAAGCTAAGCTCAAACATGCAGTGACCAGTAACTTCAGAACTCAACACAAGCCATACGCTATCTGAATTGTGAAATGAAAAATTAAATATGAAATGATGAAAATATATTATTTTTCAAATGAAAAAGCAAATATTTATAAATTTTTTTGGGATTGCAAAAAAAAAAAAAAAAAGATTCAAAGAGTTTGAATATTCTGAATGTCATATGATGTTATAACTATAAACCAATCATATATTTTTTTAAAAATAAAAAAATAAAAAATAAAAAAGAAAGAAAGAAATTAAGGTGAAGGAAAGCTAACCGAATTGATTGGGGAGAAGGAATTGCCTGGTCTCAGCCATGGAAGGGAACGTCAACTAAGAAACAAGTATTGTGTTTTGTGTTTTGTGTTTTGCGTTTTGTGTTTTGAGGGAAACAAGCATTCGGACAATTCTGTGTTTCTAAATCTAAACAAAAAGAAAAGAGAGGATGCAATGTAACGTAAGAAAGTTCAAGTGTTTGTTTAACGCGGAGAGAGAGTGTTGGCGTCCTTTGAAAGAAGTGGGAAGGAAAAGAGAAAGTTTTCAACGCGGGAAGTCGCCATCGAAACCCAAGTATATGTGTGTGTGTGACTGTGTGTGTGTGTGAGAGAGAGAGAGAGAGAGAGAGAGTATTATTCTATTGACAAAAACACAAACTTGGCATTGTGTGATTTCTACTTTGACTGATAGATTTTTGGCTCATGCTTTTTCGCTGCTGCTTCTCAATAGTATTCCAGCTATATCAGATCACGTCGCTCTCTGTTTCCTTTTTATGCCTTTTCCACTTGAAGTTATCATCAGCCGACATGTTCTCACGAGAAAGAACAAAAAAAAACAAAACTTTAATAATATATGAGAAAAACTTGTCTTATGTTATATGTGATAAATTTCTCTTACACATCTTTCGATAATTGTGCCATATTTTTTGTTCTTTTCATTTTTTAGATGATGAAGCCCACAAATTTATTTCTATTACATGAGATAACTTATCTCTTTTAATATAAGATTAATAAAACTCATAATATATATTATATATTTTCAAAATACATACTATATATTTTCATTTTGAAATAAAAACTGCTGAATTTTCTGTGGGACGGGAGCGCTGAAATTTTACTCTTATCATTCCCATCGATACGGATAAATATTTAGATGCATACCAAGTTAAAATTATAATGTATGATATTAATGTTTTTTTTCCCCATAAATTAGACAAGGCTCTCACAGGGATTAGAATTCAAAATTTTACTTAACCGGAATCAAATATGTACTACTTATTTTTAATTCAATTTAAAATATTCTATAGTCTTATTATAGTAAAACTTAAAAAATATACATTTTATCCACCATAATTTTTTTTTTTTTTTTTTCATTATAGTGTTCAATTCTGTTCGACTCTAATCTTTACGTTTCGCCTACCAAAAATAAATAAAAAATCTTTACGTTTCACTATTAAATAAAGGAAGAATATTTTCATGCTGTACATCAACCAAAAGTTTGAAATATGCTGTTTACAAAAAAAAAAAAAGTTTGAAATATGGTAAACAACAATATTGAAGAACTAGTAATACAAAAAAAATGTCATTGAATTCAAACAGATAATATGTTTGATGAAATTATGGTTAAATTATATTTGATCATGATTTAAGGTATCAAACCATACTTTGAGTGAAAGTTATTTTTATTTATTTATTTTTTTCGTTGGGTCAAACTATGAATTGTGAACATGCTATCAGAAGCTACCAGTTGAACAGGAGAGGGAAACATAATTAATTAACCAAACAATCAAAATATTGATCTTGCTTTTTCTTTCTTCATATTATTATTAAGTAAACCGTATAAAATCAGTAAAAGATCCTATTGTTTGTGCGAGACATCCCTGATTCCCTCCCATACATAACATAACAACATTCCAACTCCAAAATAACAGGGTAGACAAAGAGAAAGGATGAAAGGGGAAAATTCTCATCTTCAAAGATCAAACTCTATGTGGCGTTTAAATTGCTGGCATAATCATCTATGTTGATTCTACTTTGAGAACTACCTTCATGAACTCGTAAACAAGATAACTAATGGCGGCTGAAGGTAACACCTGAAAGTCACAAAATTGAAAACACCATATTAAAACATGAATAAAGGAATGCCAGTGCCTAAATGCTTGTCATAAATGGGATAAGATGAAAACTTATTCTCACAACTTGGTGAAACAAAAAAGAATACAAAAATTGTATACAAATCCATCCTATGGACTTTGGAATGTTTTGAAACAACTAATCCAATCCACACAAAAATGGACTTCTTTGGATGCCATGGATAGCTCTGAGAATTTCATAGGTATTGTTATCCTTCTTTTTAAACAATGAGAAAAACAGTTATTTCCTTAAAAATTGTTAGTAACTATTTTACAGTGCTGTTATTTGCACACCTACAGTTGTAAACCAGCTTCTACACATGACAGTATCAGAGTTTAACTAAAACAATCTCTGAAATTTACAGCTTCAACACATGATAGTTGCACACAGCTTCTTAAGAACTCTACGTTCAAGTTAGAAACTTCATTTTTTGAAAACAAACTATGAAGTGCCTGGCCTTTTTGCTTAACGTGTAGATTAAAAAACAAGATCTCATTGACTGGGGCATTGCTCAAATTTTATGAAATAAAAGTTAACTTTATCGCACACTCGTCATACCTGCAATAAGCTGGGAATTAATCCTGAATAGAGAGCAGGAACACCTCCTTGCTCAACAATTTTGACACAAGTTGCAAGTGCATTCAACCTTGTTGCCCGAACTTGCATTTGAAGCTGTCTCCTTACAACTTCAAAGGGATATGTAGCAGCTTCAGAACAACAACCAGCAATAGCACCATATAATAAAGTTCTGATGGGACCCAATTCCAGTTGTTCCAAAACATTCAACCCTTGAGCCTCTTCTTTCATATGTTGGATTCTTTTCATTCCTTCAGGTGAATGCAGATATGCTGACTTTAAAATATCATAAACACCATAGAAGACAGCACCTGAAGGTGCCATGCTAACAACGGAAGGTACTAAACCCTTGTAAAGAGAAAAGAAGCCCTCAGTTTTAATCATGTGACGGAAGGCACCAATTACACCTCCCAAGGCTTCACCACCAGGTGCTACCATTACCGTCCTGATCTGAAAGAAATTACTCTTAGAATGCAACTACAACAAAATTTAATTAAAAACTGTACTATATTGAAATAATTTGTTTGAGTAGGCAACATGAAATTCTTGAGAAGATCTTTTTGTGCTCCAAATCTTGAAAGACAAGATACAAGTGACATAAACCATGACCAGTGCCTTTGGTATTCAAATAAAATCGTAAGCAGGCACGATTCTTTAATATGATTCGAATTTTCACCGTTATTGTTATTTAACAATGACTACACTACAATCAGGGAGCATCATATGTATAGATCAAGCAAATGTTAGTTAGCAGATTAAGAGTGGGACTAAGCATCCAGTGAACTCATAGATACAGTTGTTTAGAGAGGTGGGTAGATAAAAGGAGCAACAAGTCCTCCTCTTTAGTTTTGCCAACAAAGTGAGCATAAAGTACCCTTGTTAAAAGAGATTGGGATAGAAATGTGGCTAGCAACAACATTTTGTAAATTAAAACTCATTGGGTAGGAACTATATGATTGCAGCAAATCCGTCAAAAAACACCACACTAGACAAGCCTGCCTTGATTCATACCCATCATATCATATTTCTCAGAGCATCACAATCCAATGAAAATGTATCTATACTTGAACATTAGCAATAAAGTTATACCCTTCATATCAGATTGCTCCTCAGAGCATCACAATTCAAAGAAAACTTAAACACACAGCAAAAAAGAAAGTTATCAAAGAGAACAGATACAACTAACAGGATCCTGAATTTCCACTCACAGTGTCCATGGGCAAGCAGAGCAAGGTAGCTGTAATCCCTGCAGCAGCACCGGCAACAAATCTCTCAAAATTTGTGGATTCTTCATTCCCCAACATCCTAGCCAGTTTATTTCTATATGTATCATACGCATAAAAATTTATAGCCTTAAAGGGTGCCGTCCGAAGAATATTTACAAAATTTCCTTTCCAAAAACCTTTAACCCCTTGAGAAACTGCAATTGCCTGAATGAGATCGAAAAGGTTCTTCTGCTCACCACGAACTATGTATTCCAGCTTAAGTCTCTCAAGAGGTGCAACAAAAGTTCTGACACAACAAAGAGAATAATACGCCAGATAATAAACTGTGTATGCTGTATTCAATAAAAGCATAGTGCACAAACAAGAAAACAACATGTTGCATTTTTTTTATTTCACTTGGTGAGAGATTAAGGTTTATGAAGACCTTGAAACCATGGCAGCCACAGCTCCAGCCCAGAGATGCTTGGTCATGTTCATAGCACCCGATCCACTCACCCGAACATTTTCCTTCTTCTCTTGACACATACCCTTTTCCTCATTTTGCCCCAGAATTTCCGTTGATTCGCGTGCATAACTATGATCCGCATCGCTACCGTTTATGGACAAGCTCAACGACAAGAACGCACCACCAACTATGCCAGAATCTCTCCCTTCTACGACCCTTCTTCTGGGACCCCAAGAAAAACACGAAACCGTCCTCAAATTAGAAGAAGATGGAATCAAGGAAATGAAGGACTTAGGAACCGTGTCAGCATGGAGGAACAGGCCACCTGGGAGGAATGAATCAGAGGCCTCGTGTTGTTTGATCAAGAGGGGCATTGTATTTGTTTCGTACGAGGTACGAGGAGTTGTGTGTGAAACAAGGTTTCTTAAGTTTGATGAATAATGAAAAGGATCTGGGTTTCGGTATTCACATTTTGCTTCAGCTTTTTTAAATTGAGGACAATAAATAAATATAATAATAGAGTTGAAAGAGGGGAGGGAATAATGGTATACGATTCAGGTATTTGATCGGTGACGCATAGCTTTTCCGCCGCCGCATCTACATTGCTATTGCTATGCTTCGTCTTCAGTGGGTGCCTTGGAGGTTGGTGGTATCGTGCTTCTTTATTTAAATAATTTAATTTGATCTGATTCTTTTCAAAAACGTTTTTCTTATTAGTTCGGACTTTCCGCTCTGTTTTTATAATTTTGGGAAAAGGGGTTTTCCAACTTTCCTTTTATTATTGTCATAGGCTCACACTTTAGCGCTAGCAATTAACAAATTTAACACGAATATTATACGATATTATAAATACATTCATCTCAACCTTTGACACCAATATAATTTGTTTATTTTTGAATAGATACGATATTATACGACTAATTCATCAATATCAAAATGTATTATTTATTATGCGCATTGGAATAATAAAATAGTAACCTACAAATCTTAAAGTGTATGATTTATTATGGGAGTTGATATAACACAAATAATCTATAAAAAGATTAAGGGGTTTGATTTTCTCATTTTGCATGAGAATTGAATTCTCATGTTGTGACTCACTAATGGTGGACCTCACATTTATTAAAAAGAGAAAAAGAAAAAAATAATTTTACTCGCAAATCGAAGGGTCACAACATGATAATTGAATTCTTATACAACATGAGAAAATATTTTCCCAAATATTAATATGAGTTAGTTTCCTCTTGCAAATTAATTTTTCATATAAATTTTTGCTAATACAAATATGACACAAATTTAAAAATAAATCAATCCAAAAACAAATTTTCATATTATATTTATATCGTGTCAACTTATCGTATAATATTGACAATTTTTTTTATTTTGGTTTAAATCCCAATTCAATTCAAAGCAAGTTGTCTTAAATTTATTTTAGTTTTATTCGAATGACACCCATATCTCTTTGCTTTATATACATAGACACACACATTAACCTTCGTGTCTATGAGACAAATGCCTCTTGTTGAAAAATTATCCCACACTTAAACTATGTACATAATATAGATAAAAAGTTAAAACATAATAGTAGTCCATATAAATTATGAAACAAAAGTTTACCAAAATAAATAAATAAATTATGAAACAAAATTGTTTTATCTTATTATAAACTACTTTAGAGTTCTTTGTAGGAATTTATCTTATTCTATCAAACAAATGTCGTGAATACCTAAGTCGCATGGACGTATATTTTGACAACTGTTATTTTTAGTGGGGTTTAAGCTGTATTATTCAATATTTTAAGTATTCTCGAGTGTTACAAAAAAATGACTACTCCATAAAAAAAAAAAAGGACTACTCGTCCCAAACATTCTCTTAGAAGTGTATTATATTATACAATCCGAAATGAAATACCTCGTATTTTTTCATTAATAAAAAACTTAATCATAGTTGGGTTACTTTAGTTCAGGTTACATGATTTGATTAAAATTTGAAAAATTATTTTTAACAAGGTCTATAAAAATGGCATCGTTTTATGTTATAATTTATTTAAAATAAGCACAATAATATTATATTTATATTAAAATATTTGTCTTAAAAAATTTACAATGATTGAATTATTTCAGGTTTAATCTGAGTTGAGAAAAACAAAATTCAATACCCAAAATGAGGGTAAGTTGGTTCATGTTAAACGACAATCAAACCGTTTACCCAAAAAAAAAAAAGCGACAATCAAACCGACTATCTAACCCAACCCAACCCATTTTGTAAATTGGTTCAGATTGAGTTAGTTAGGTTATTAGGTCAAATTAGATCCATGATCGCACCTACAAAACCTGGAAATTCTTCTTTAGATAACGCAAGGGTGCCCCATATTCCTAGAGAAAGGGGTCGGGTGGAGGGTTATATATTTCAGGCCTTGTACAAACAAATGCATTTCTTCAGAAGAACAACATACATCTAAGACACAATTAAGAGAGCTTGTTTATTACCTGTATTCTTACATGAAGGGACTAATTGTATAACAAATAAAAAAATAACTATCAATCTTTGTGTCGAACAACAAAACCATTACTGCAATCTTGTCCCCCTCATCTAGTAAACTGAAGGATCATTACATGAAAGCACGCTTCTTCCAACTTCATCTTTCCATTTAAGCTGCCATTCCAAAAATTATGCTCAATTAACAGACATCTATTGGCTCTTTTGAGAATAGTCTTCTCTAGCATGAGCAACCTCCTCCTTGCTGCTCTGTCTGGGATGAATTCACCGTGGGTTTTAAATTTACGTCGACCATGTCTTCCTGCTTTGTAGAAGAAAGAGTTTCCATCCCTGGCAAGGCAGCAGCAATCTTACGAAACAAAGGCTGCAATTTTGCATTGACAGAAAACATTAAGGACACAAGAACCAACAAAGGAAGATGATGAACTTGAGAAACAAAGATAGTTCATCATGAATTTGAAGTTTCTAGATGGAATACATAAAGAATCAGGGAAGGATTTTGTATATTGATATGATAGAACGCAGGCATCATAGTTCATAGCATGCTCTAATAATAATAAACCAAAAATTTGGGGTGACTAGGAGAATTCGTTTTCACCTTTATATTGAAGCCTGCTTTTGCACTAGTTTCTATAAACATGATTCCGAACTCACGGGACTTGGCATCTCCTTCCTCTATAGAAACTTGCCTGTTTAAGTATCAAAATGACCTTGTAAAAAAACTTCAGATAGTAACATCACGATACTTGAATAGCAAACACAAAGTGCAAGCTACCTGGTAAATGGATCAACTCTGATTTCTACTATTTGTAACTACTAACACATCCAAATTTCATGACCTAAAACGAATTTTTATTTAGGCTATCCTACAATTATATTTAATCAGCCAAACTTTTGTAGATCTAGGATGAAACTTGGCTAGACATGATAAATTAGTTTTGATATGGCTTTTGATATGATAATAACAATATACGATAATCTTGGTAAGATTCTCTGAATTTTGGCTGTTAGGTATTAAATGGCTAGACATCTTCTCTATCACATTAACCAGAAAAAACATGATAAATTAGCAATTGTTTGTATGCCAAAAATTTGGGCAACTAAACAATATGTATTGAAACATAATATGGAGACCCCATCATGATAATAGGCAAAAAATAAAGCATATGCGTTCAACAAAGATATAACTTTTTAAAAAAAAAGTAAAAGACATGCAGGCCAAATTTAGTAATATCACTCACCTTTTATCGACAAGATCAGTTTTGTTTCCAACCAAGACAATAATAACATCACTGCCACGCTCCTGACGTACCTCCTCAACCCACTTGTTAGTGTTCAGAAATGATTGCCTGTCTGAAATAATTTTAAATTGCTGTTAAATAGGTCGCTAGTTATCTGAAAAATGAACACTAAAGCACTTCCAGATCCAATTGCAAACACAGCTCTGAATCGCATAAAAGAGCGCACAATAGAACAGGCATGTGGTGCTAGCAATCACACACACATCCAGGAAGGGAGAGAGATTCTTTCGTAACAACATACTGTGTTTTAGAAAAAATAAGATCAGAGCAGTCACTCAAACACCTCAGTATTAAAGAATGCATTCATGTGCTACAAAACCTTTTTCTCTGAGTAACATGATCAAACAACTTGAAAAATTTAAGAATCAGCAAAGGTTCAGAAAGAACACTGTTAATTAGATAATAAAAGTCCTATTAAAAAATATGCATAAAACTCACTAGCTACATCATATACAATAACTGCAACAGAAGAATCTCTAATGTAGCTTGGAATGAGACTTCTGAATCTTTCTTGTCCTGCGGTATCCCTGTGAAGTTAAAATATACTAGGCTCAGAAAGAGTAAGAAAAACAGGTGAAATAAAAAATGTGTACACGGCTATACCACTAGTAATATGTACTCTAATATAACTTTTGAAAAATATAAATAGACTGAATTTGCATATATGACTTTAAAAAGAATTCAGCATACCAAAGCTGCAAACGAACTGTTCTATCTTCAAGATACATTGTTTTTGACAAAAAGTCAATACCAATAGTAGCCTGAAATGTAGATAATCAAAAAATTTGTCAGCAACCTAGCAGAAAGAATGAAAAAAAAAAGAAAGTGAAATGTTAAAAAAGAAAAAGAAAAAAGGGAAAAGTTCACCAATACCCTTGTGGTTTGCTTTAAAATCATCTATGTCCCTATGGTTTTTTTTTTATCACATATGCCCCCGTGGTTTGTAAAAAGTAAAAAATCACAAGGGCATATGTGATAAAAAACATATCCTTTTGCAAACCACGGGAGCATATGTGATAAAAAAAAAATCACAGGGATATAAGTGATTCTGGAATAAACCACTGGGGCATTGGTGAACTTTTCCTAAGAAAAAAAAAAAAGGCCCCCATTTAAAGTTATCTTGTAACTAACATAAACAAGAAACATTACAAGATGTCGGGAAATTTCATCAAAACAAGCCCCAGAAAAATCAACACAATTATAAAAAACGAGAACTTGAAAATGATTTCTCAATGACTAATACAAGTTCTTCTTCCCATTCTAGCATTTCACAAACACAAAATGTGCTGAATGGTTAATGTGACATTGAATTTGCAAACAACTGGCTTAATTCCTAGCTGCCACTTTCGCGTCCCCTTAAAACTGTGAGTGAAAAATTGAGGGATGAGTTTTAACCGAAAAGTTACAAGAAAAACTCATAAACCAATTTTTCACCCCCATTTTCAAGGGATATCAAACTCCAAAATTCAGAGCACATTGCAAAATATCAATCTCCTCCCGATCCTCCCAAAATCACATTTAATCACGTGTGATCATTGATCAAAATGTCTTAAAAATTTCAAATCACAGCAAAAATTATCGTGGTGCTATTATCTGAGATTGATCCACGTAAAATCACATACACATATAATAACGAATGTCGTAAATATCGTAAAATCACATACTCAGAGATAAAATAAAGAGATCAAGGGCAAAATCAAAATGAATGAATATATTCAAGTTTGATTTCATCTGATGAGCTGAATAAAACGAAAACGAAATTGAGATTGAGAATGAGTGAATGAAATGTAAAGGAGGATGGGACCTGACCTGATAGGTGGTGTCGAATTTGTCGTACATGAAGCGAGTGATGATACTGGTTTTGCCAACGGATTGATCGCCCAAGAAAACGAGCTTGTATTTGGCGAGAGGGGACACCGTCGCCATTTCTGAGAAATGTTATCTTCTCTCACAAGGAACTCTCAGAAACAAACGTAGATCTGAAGAATATCCCAACGCAACGCAAGAAGAGACGAATAGACCAAATGCAACAAGGATCGTAATTTCGAGTGTAACACGTTTATAAATATATTCGAGCTGAAACCGCCAACCAGGACGACGACCGCGTCCCCCAAACTTAATTTATCTATTTCGTCCCTCTCCTTTCTATAAATTCTCATTTGTATCCCCTCTTCTCTTTCCCAAAATAAGAATAGGACCAAATCACTCCAAAATTGATTAGTAACCTCCTAACCATCTCAATGTATGATATATTTTAAATTTAAATAAAATTTTAATAGTATAAGTTAAAAGAAAAAAAAAAGTATATTTAGAGTTATAATAATATATGCACAATTAATTTAAGTAGAATCTAAAAATATATATTGAAAGAGGAATAATTAAAATTATAAGGAAAATATGTGTTTGATTGACGGGAAATGTTATAATTAAAATTTAAGAATACCGATCATACTTAGTGTAATTTATAAAAAAAATTTGTAAACGGATCGTTTCTCTAAAGATCCCTAACCCTCAGCCAGGAGGAAGATAATTAATTTGTTATTATCAAAGTCATCAAACTGATTTTATTCGATGGCCAATACTTTTTTTTTTCAATAACTAATAAATTAATGTATTGAATTTTTAAGTACTAAATTGAGTGCTTACTGTAATCTCATTCTAAAGGCATAACTACACAAATATTTTAGTAAAATCTTTCCATGAACTACAAAGTATTAGGATTTTTACTTTTTTAGCACGGTTGTGAAAACTTAAGTCCTACAAGCAAATTGCTATAATCCTTACCATATGAAGCAATCCTCATTTTTCTGAAGCTTGTGCTTTCATTCTTAGGAAATAATTTTGCTGCCTATATATCATACGATTAACAAAATAAAATGCAAAAATGATTTATTTCATTTCCCCCCGTATAAGACGAGTATGAATTATTCCCTCTTTAAATATTTTTCCCTCAAAAAAATAAACTTTCCAAAGTATTATGACCCTAAAAATGGGTGAGGGTCACAAGAGAAAAGAAAACGATTTCCAAAAAACTGGACACAAAAAAAAGTATTTGAGAGGTTAATTTTCACTTATATGAAGAGGATGAAAAGGAATTGGGTAGAATAAATTGCCAACCTTTCTAGCCGAGGGTGTGTTTAAAGAAAAAGATTGATAAGAAGGCCATGATAATGAAAAAGGATGGAAAGTTTTTAATGCTATTAACATGAAGAAACAAGTATAAAACTTACAAGTTACAACAATACACATGGTAACAATACAGCGAATTCTAATCATTAAAACACAAAAATGATTAAGATTAAAGTTATTTAAAGGTCAGATGATAATTTTAAAAGGTCATACGACTTTATTTTCTGATGTTGATTATTCAAGATTTAATCTCCTTGCTCTCACAATAAATCATTCTTCTCGGTTGATCATTCCTAAAAGATTTGTTGTCGTTGTTCGTTCATATTTTTCGTGTTAACTTTTTATTTTAAATAATTGGCGTTTATTGAAAAAAGTAAAAAAAAAATGGAATAAATGAATTTTTTTTCTTTTGGTAATCGGAATAAATGCATTTAAATTAATACTACGTTTTCATGTTTCACAAATAATTGAATGTAAATATTGTTTTTTTTTGAGTAAATACCCTTTTGGGTCCCTAACAAAAAACACGGTCCCCAGTTTCTTACAAAAATAAATTAGTCAGTTAGTCCCTAACAAATTCAAAGTGAACCCATTTTAGTCCTTTTGAGGGACTAATATGGGTCTTTTTTGAATTTGTGAGGGACCACGATTTTAACTAAATAGGTCCACTTTGAATTTGTTAGGTACTAACTGAATAATTTATTTTTGTAAGAGACTAAAGTGAGAACCGTATTTTTTTGTTAGAGACAAAAAGGGTATTTATTCATGTTTTTTTTTAAGGTACTAGTTGTTGACTCAGCCGTTAAAATCCTTTGCCGTGAATGTTATGACCTGAAATGAAATTCTAACAATTATCGAAGGAAAAAAAAAGTAGCCTCTTTATTTATTTTTTTCCCATCTATTTTCGATAATCCAGGTATCTCATACTAAAGTTTCTTTTTCACATATCAAGAACAAAAAGGTTTTGGGATTCAAGAAGAATACTTTCGCAACTGTGCACAGAGCTTGCAGTACATATTCCCTTGTTAAAAATAAAAAATATGAGATACGGATGAAAATAATCAAAAAGGTAAAAATAGTATAAAAATATTATTTTTTATTATATTTAATAAAAGAAATATCCAATACTCAATACAATTGGAGCACCGAAAAAATATATACTCATTCAGGAGAAAAATCAAATCAAATAAATAAAGCCACTTAACTCACATAAAACCCATATATATACTTGGCCTCACTTAAACATTTAACAATTATAATTTCTATATAATAATAGAATGTTGTTGACGTTGATGATCTAGAAGGAAAGAAACAACCAACCAACTATCTTAACTATAGCCCTCCACAGACCACAGAAGCGACTCTCAGCATTAATTTAGACAACACCTCAGTGTCTCTTATATCATTTAGTCATCAAAATAGAATGATGTCTATCCTAAGCTTACTGCAGTTAGCTAAAGATTCACCATGAAGTCTCTTCAAGTGGCCCAAGTACAAGACCATGGGAGTCACACTGATAGAATTGATCAAGTTTCAGACAAAAGCATTGTAGTTCCTAACAAACTCGTCATAATAGCTGATAGCTTCAAAGGCGAACATTCATGGTACTTCTAGAACTAGCATCTTTTTTTTATAGATTAGACAGCTAAAAAATCAGTAGTAACAATATCTTGATATGTCTACATGAATTTAATTTTGCATGTCTAACCAAGTATAGTTCTCCCCCACCTCTCTTATTTTCTGTTCTTTTCTGGTTTGGGCTTATGCAGGTTCATTGCTCCTCAAATCCCAACAGATTTTTCAGTTCAAGTTCAGGAAACCACTTATGGTGTTCACAAGGTATAAGATAAAATACTAAGATAAATAAAGCCTAAAAATCATCAGCAGAGTATATAGAGGGTAAGAAAATCATAACATCATAACACTGTCTATTATTAATCTATTATCAGACTTTCATCTCAATGAGTGACACTGACTGGTGTGAAGCACAATTCTATCATAGGGAGCATAAGAACCACTCATTCCTTTTCTTCCTATTGTGTGTATTTGTGTCTGCAGGTGTCATTTTTTCTCTCCCCGTTTTTTAATAGAAAGAAAAAAAAGTTCCTTAGGAGAGAAAGAACAGAAAATAGGGGATAGTAACCGGATGTTTGGTTTGTTTTATTACATTTTCAATTGATATGTTTTTCACTGATAATTACGAAAGCTACCACATTATTTTTATTTTTAACTTTTTGTAAAAAAAAAGTGAAAAATTAAAAAATTATTATTTTCATCATTTTCTTCACAAAATCTAAAAAACAAGAAATAGAATAAGAAATGGTTATATTTTTGTAATGAAAATATAAAAAGACAAATCTCAGTGCATAAGACTTCCTGACTTGCAAGAGAGTAGAGGTGAGTATCGATTGTATGACCCTTATATTTTTTCAAAGAGACAGTTTCCAAAAAACAAACCCATAATCTTCCGGTAATAAGGAGCAACCTTATTGCTGCTCGAATTCGTCCACCTCCTATACTTGTAATCAAACTATATCATCTAAAAAAAATAAACCAAGCACCCCACTGTGAGACTTAATAACTACGTATGTTGGTTATTTTTGCTGTAACATCATTTCGTATGTTGGCTACTTTCTCTGAAACAGTACCCCTTGATATCAAAATGCGGCTACATAGGACGATTGGAAGTTCAATCTTTGATCTCAAATTCTGGCAATGAGCTCAAGCTTGAAAACTTTCCAGGGGGATCTGATACATTTGAAACAATTCTAAAATTCTGTTATGGCCTCCCTATAGACTTCAACCCAGATAATATAGCTGCACTAAGATGTGCATCAGAATTCCTAGAGATGACTGAAGAACTAGAAGATGGAAATCTCATATCCAAGGCAGAAGCTTTCCTCACATTTGTTGTGCTCTCTTCATGGAAAGACACTATCACTGTTCTGAAATCTTGTGAAAATCTATCTCCATGGGCTGAAAACCTCCAAATTGTCAGAAGATGTTGTGATTCCATTGCTTGGAAGGCTTCCAAATATGACCCCACAATTGAGGATGCAGTAGCTAATCAAGAAAGTTGGTGGTTCAATGATGTGGCAAACTTACGCATTGATCATTTTATGCGGATCATTTCAGCAATAAGCGCAAAAGGAACCAAACCAGAGATCATTGGTAAATGTATCATGCAATATGCCAAGAGATGGCTACCAGGAATGGATGTAGAGTTAGAAGGACTAAGAGGATATGGACATGGAAAGAGTAACCTACAATTCAGTATTTTTAGTGGGAAGAAGAAAGAAAGCACTGGACACAGCAATGAGCAAAAGACAATTATTGAAAGCCTAATAAGCATAATTCCTCCTCAACAAGAAGCTGTCTCATGTAAGTTTTTGTTGCAGATGTTAAAGATGGCCATGATGTATTCTGTATCACCAGCTCTTACTTCAGACCTCGAAAAGAGAGTGGGTATGGTATTGGAGGATGCTGAGGTGAATGATCTTTTAATTCCAAGATATCAAAATGGAGATCAAGGAAAAACAATCAAGTGAGTATACTTACCATTCTTTTCATCTTCTTTACTCCCACAGTTGAATTGGCATTAATGCCAAAGGTCAAATCTAACTCTGCAACCATCTAAAAAAAAAAGGGAAAAGTTCAAATAACCTCCTTCAGTTTGCTTTTGAATCACTTACCCCACTACATATATATATATCATTTAACCCATGTGCTTTTTTCCATCCAAGTCCCTCCATAACGGTGTTAGAGTTTCTAACAAATATAACTATTCTACCCTTCTTTATTTGTAGATTGTTTATAATTTATTCCCAATCAGAGTTTGCTTTGTTCCGTAATCCTTCTTCAATATGGACTATGATGTCATTACGTAGTTTAGAAGGGGAACCAGGGTTCAAGAAGAACATGTGTGTTCAATTTGAATTTCCATGTTAGTTTAAAAAAACAAACTTGTGGAAATATAAAGAATGCTTACCAAAGTGAACTTTTCCAAATAAAAAAAGAACCCAAGAGTAATGAAAATGAACAGTGACAATAATTTCTATCTTTTTCTTTTTCTATTATTTTTTGCCTCAGTAGCAGCATGACTAATTCATCTGAAGAATGCACCATGCAAGACATAGAAGTAGTCCAACGGATTGTTGAATATTTCTTAATGCATGAGCAACAGCCGATGCATCAGCAACAAAATTCTGGGAAATTCAATATTAGCAGGCTCTTGGACAATTACATAGCTGAAATTGCAAGAGATCCAAATCTTTCAATCACCAAGTTCCAAGTTTTAGCTGAATTGCTACCAGAAAATACTCGATCATGTGATGATGGTCTCTATAGAGCCATTGACACCTACCTCAAGGTCATCCTTTTGATTCTTATTTTCTTGTGTTTTAGTTTCCAGTTTTAAGTGTTGTAAAATGGATTTCAAAACAAAGTTTTGACATGCTAATATTGACATCTCTTCAGACCCATCCTTCACTGACCGAGCATGACCGTAGAAGACTCTGCAAAATACTGAACTGTGAAAAACTGTCATTTGATGCATGCATGCATGCTGCACAAAACGAGAGATTGCCTCTAAGAACTGTTGTCCAGGTAAAGTTTACTGGATCTCTGGAACCTAATTGTCAACTATTTCAGCTTCATACATGATAAATGAAGAAATGATCATGAACCAGTTTTAAGAATTTCAGATTCCATACAAAAATATGATGAGATGATCATAACGCACAATTCAGATTTTAGCATCATCTGTTAAAGGCCATTGAGAAACACAGTGACCGAATAAAACATTAGAACCAATTTAGGATAATGATTTTATTGAATATATTAAAAACTGTATCTTCGCAAACCTTTTACTTTAACTTTCAAAAGGAAATCCCTTAAATACTAATGGAATCCAGGTGAAAGGCGATTTTTCAATGAAAGAAGGAACTGTATCAGAAGGAAAGAAGGATGATCACATAGAAGCAGGATAACATAAATCCTCCTTACAAAGAGAAAAATAAAAACAAAACAGCAAAACCAATACAGAAGTGCTCCCAAATCCCTCCCTGAAACCATGTGCTCAAAGAGAAGCTATAACAACAATCCCATCACATAGCAAGAGTGAATGCAAAATAGAAACCATAAAAATATTTCCTCAGTACACCAAGGCTTATGCCATTACTTACCTATTGTGACTTAGAAATGAATTTTCTTGACATTGCAGCAAAACAGAATTTTGTTCGGTAGAGCAATTTAAAGACCAGAAATGTTGACAAAAGACATAATCATCGAGTGAGAAGATTCAACAGAAATATCTATATATTTCCAAGTTTATTTTTAATAAGATAATTAATTCCACAATACAGCACTGGAGAACTGGTTCACATAATATAAATGGCATTTAAGATAGTTTGGTAGCATAACAAGTGGATGAATTGATAGTCAAAGTCCCACAGCATTTTTAGAGCTAATATGACCAAATTGGTGGTTCAGCTTAAAAGTTTTCACCTGAACGAAAGAAAACTAGACATGCAGGTTCTATTTTCAGAGCAAGTAAAGATGAGGGCAGCAATGCAAGAGAAGGAGCCAGCACAAAATGGAATCAACTCTGAACATGATGGAAACCAGATATCTGCAGCTCTGGACATTAAATCACTCAAAGCAGAACTTGAGAATGTAAAGTCCAAGATGGTAGAACTGCAGAGTGACTACTTTGAGTTGCAACAGGAGTATGAAAAGTTAAGCAACAAGCCAAAGAATTTATCAGGCTGGAGTTTAAATTGGAGGAAGATTAAAAAGTCCTTTCATACAAAAACAGCAGGGGATGAAACTGAAAATGGTCAGGATATACCCAAGTCATCAAACCCCGTACGACATAAAGGAACCCCTAGAAGAAGGGTCTCAATGTCTTAAAAGTATTTCATTTTCAACATAAAAAATTATGTAGCAAAACACCTATCTAGCCATTTTTATATGAAGCATATAGTCTAAATTTTATATCTAAAGATATTGTTGACTTCAAAGACAGGAAAGTTCTTTATCTGCAGCTTCCATATACAAAGGCTTCCAAATGCTGCAATACAAGCAATACATACATAAGAAGAAAATGGAATTATTTTCTCAAGTGACTAGATTATTTATACAAGCTCATGAACACCAAGAACATTCAGCTGATAGAACATCAACTTACAAGTTTAGCAATGAACCATAAAAGATGCAGATGAAAGGAAAACAAAATACTCTAGTTTGCAGGAAAACGAAGCTTCAGAGGAAATAATCTATAAGAATTCAAAATATAGGAAATGTGATGCTTGATTAAACAATTCGTGATCAGGTTTTCATTTAGAATGCTTGCTTACACTGGTTTAGTAATTAACAAGTTCCTTCTATTGGCTGAGCACTCAGTCATTTCAGAAATACAGATTCTTGCCTCCTTGAGTCATAGACGTACTGTTGTTTACTCTAACATCTAATTACAATGATTTATTTGGACGAAATTCTTGATGTTCATGGTAAACAACAAAACTGCACACAGCCTTCAAACTTCCATACTAAAAAATCCCCAGGTTTTACATCTTTATTATTTCTATTCATACATGGGCAAAAATAAATTATAGCAATTTAAATTATCATTTTTTTAAAATAAATATATTAATCTATCATCTTAAACATCAATGTAAAATTAAACTGAAAAAAGAAAAATACCGCAACCACAACTTTGGACCTGGGATAATAGTTTTGAATGGCTTATAGACACCATATTTGGATGTAAAGAGCTGAAGCAATGCATAGCAAAATATCAAAAGTAAAAATTCTTATTCACTAACGAACAGCATAATCCTCATTAATCAATAAACTCCAACAAACCACTGGACCATCCTATTTTTTCCACATCCAAATGGAACAAAAAAAAAATCCAAAAAAGAAAAAACAGCAGAGCATTCAAACCAACATGTCCCCCATAACTACCTAGCAAGGGTCAACATCTTGTTCTTGTCGGCTTCGACGGTATTGGTAGCGGTAAATAAGGGGTGGTCAGAAAGCGGTTTCTTGAGGGTGACATAGGCCTTCTTGTAATTGGGTTTTGCGTACAAGGTGCCAGCAGCGTGATTCTTCTTTTTGCCCTTCATGTTCAAAGTTCGCACCTTTTGGACCTCTAAGCCATAGAAGGATTCAAGGACACGCTTGATTTCGACCTTGGAAGCTGAAGGGTTTGTCTTAAATGCGATTTCTTTGATGACCGATGAGGCTGTGGTGGGCATGAGCGGTATCATTTTTAGGTCTAAAAGATTTGCCATCATCTTTTGAACCCTCTCTTACAATCTCTCTGATTCCCTCCTTAAACCCTGCCAAATTGCCCAAAAACCCTCTTCCGCTTATCAACGCTGCCCCCTGTTTTTGTCTTTTTGTTTTGTTTTGTTTTTTCCTCCATTTGTTAATTGTGCTTTTTAAGAGTACGGGTTAAAGAATAAAAAACAATATTTGTTATTACATTACTTTAAAAATATTTCATATTTTAACGCACATTTATATGTTAGTTAACATAATTTGTTTACTTTTAGTTAAAATATTCTTTTTGTAATTTTGAATTACTGTTTTCTTGACTATATCTTTTTTGTAATTTTAAATTATTATTTTGTAGATAATAATTTTCTTAAACCAACGCCTTTCTTTTTTTTTTTTTTTTGATATCATAAAGGGGACAAGCCCCAACAGAAACAGAATAACCAATGCAGACTAAGACAGGAAAGGGAAAAACAGAAACAGCAAGGAACCTAACAGCAAACAGAAAACTAACAGAAAAACAGGAAGCGAACATCATCCTATCATTCTGCTATCTATAACCAAGTGCAGCCCCGGATCCAAAATGTCTGCAGCAAGGAGATTTAATAGTTCACTATGTGGGGATGGAATAAGGTTGATACCATGAGAATCCTCCAAAGCCTTCTTTGCAATCCAATCCGCACAAGTGTTGCAACTCCTAGGAATATTGTTCAGTAGGACAGTCCACTCTTTCTGTAAAAGGACTCGAATCTTAGCTACCAACGGCAGCTTTCGAGTATCATTACCATAATTGGTAAGAAGAACAACGTTAAACACCAACCTCTAGTGTCATCTCAAGCGTTCAACAACTCAAGAACGCTTCCGGAGTGAGTGGGAGCAGAAGAAACGGGGATATTATACGAGACTTTGTGAGATTTCTCCTGCTCGCAAGCTAATATTGACAAGTCAAAAATCAGTAAAATATACGGACCCTTTCAACCAAGAATCTAGAGTGAGATATACAAAGAATTTCTCATCATAAATAACGGAAAAGAGCTCCAATTCAAATTCCTTCAAGGGTGAACTTTTTTATCCATTTCTCTGCTTTATATGAACGTCATGACACTGACCTATATATGCTTTTACTATTTAAAGATGGATGAAGCAGTTAAAAAGTATGACTGAAAGTTACGCTAAAAAATAGGACAGAATCGAAGTTCATGGAGGAAGCACTCCCCTATCACTGCATTGAATTATATTTTAACTTTCAGTCAGCCTCTACCCATTGCATTGCAGAACTGTACCAATAGTATTTCAGCTCATTAGAGATAAGGATTAAACTACAATAAATATTTTTCTGCGTAAATTTCATTATCACCAAAGGTTATACCGGCATTGTCTTCTACAACGCGAATTTTAAATTGAACCACATTTATCCACACATTGGAGAGGAGACCAAAATAAATGACTCATTCCAAAGTTCCAGAATATTAATAGAAGGAAAACTCTTAAGACATTGAAAATAATGCTTGCTTTCTATCATTTACTAGATGCTTTATATTCTAGATAAAAAACAAAGGAGTGTGAGTGGGGAACTAATGTAATAACTCCCCCATCCTATATTGGTCAGATTTTATGACTCCTTCTTCTTAACCTGGTAGGGGTATTTCTGGTATATTGAAATGCTACTGACCACTAGTGGAAGAGCCACAAGGCAATACAATGAAGGTGGTTTTCCTTCGAAAATGAACTGCAGCAATGCTGTAACAAGTAGAGCAGAAACAATGACAAACCCCTGCAACCAAATTGAATCAATGCCACCGTAAGTAAAGTTGTATAAAACAGATAAAATATGAAAGAGTTTTTATACCCCAATATTCCCCATAAAATGATTTTGAAATTTCATAGAACTGCCATCATGTCTGGCAATTCATAAGTTCCTCAATAACTTCATGTTGTCTGGTAGTGAATCAGTAATTAGTTGGTTGAGTACCAAAAGCCTGTGCAGTTACTACATCTACTGCTCTACAGATAAAGTGCAATAATAATTTCTCTTGATAAACAGCAACATGTATATTAGAATTTAGATTAGAGCCCTCAAAAGCCATGGTAAAACTTAACAAAATATTAAAAGCATCAAATGCATACAACCTGTTTCCTCCAAATCAACCAGTTGATATATGATGTAGGAACGTGGCAAACTAACAATAAAACCAACTACCATGGGATCACCATTTTTATCCATCATCTATGGCTAGAGCCTCCCAAAACTAATTTAGTTCACAAAGTTAAACTTACCTTTCGAACACCACCAGCATGACTTGTAATTAAACCAACAAGAATTCCACCAAGGGCATTGAAAATTACTGGAATCTGAAATGAATATAAAACAATATGTAACGTTTTTAAGTTGATGTACATCAATATCTATTAAAGGCACAATTACTCTTGCATATTGATAAAAATGCCCAGAACAAGGCACTAAAAAGGTCCATATTATTGATTTGTAAGTTGTAATCATACTAGCACAGTTAACTACAGATTCGTCATCAACTAGTTTAATCAAATTTATAAAACAAAAAAAAATAAAAATTATTGAACCACAGACGTATGGCGTTTCAATTTTGTCAGCTAGTGAGAGAAAGTCAATATGCAGTTGGGGCATAATCTCTGTTTTAAAAACCAGACCGGACTGGCCGTTTCACCAAAAAACCAATGAACCAGTCAGGTCATTGATCTGAACAAACCAGAAAACCGAATGATGAGAGAATCGATGGAGAACTAATCAAACTGGTCCATAGCTGGTGGTGGAAAACAGGTTTTTTTATTATTTAGTATTCAACCAAAAACATCTTTTGAGACAAACAAATGCCCACATGAATTGCTGTAATTTAGCCTTTTATTATTGACTTTCTATCCAGCAGGACATATAATAGGGTCCTATAATACTAATTTAAAATTTTGTTCAACGCGATTTCTTATGATTTTGTGTTTGTTTATTACTTAGTATATTATATAATATTAAAATATATATTTAATTATCATCACTCAGACCAATAAACTGTAAACCAATGCCTGCTGTTACTAAGACAGCCCCCCCTCTCTCTCCCAAAACAAACAAAAAAAAGAGAGAGAAGGAAACTGCTACTGATCCTGCAAAAGTACAAGTCCAAATTTACATGTATATGCATACTGTGCTTGGAGCAGAGGACAGAATACCAAAATTTGAACCTTTCAGTTTTCTAGACCTATGTGATGATTGTATTGGCTTCTTGACATGCATAAGCATGACAACAATCTAATGGCTCCAAGAATCGTATCACAAAAGTCAAATATCAGTAAGAACATTACCAAAGTTAGAGGAGTCCAACCATAAAAAAACCCATGTTGTCTCATAGCTTCTCCATCTGGAGATTTCAAGGTACTGGTAAGCAAACATAGACTTCCAACAATTGACATTTCTATAGTCATCAAGTATGACGAGTGTTTCTTAACCTGTGATAGAAGGAATCAATAGGACAAATATAAATATTAATCAAACAAGGAAACTTAAGTCGGAACAGAAAATTGAAAGTTCTGGTAACCTGAGAGGCCCATTGACACAAGGTAGAGGCCAGTCCAGATAGAACTGAAGCAACTAAAACAGGAATAATTCCATAGAATAAAATTTGATCAGCATTACCACCAACAGAACCTTTGCTAGAGCCTTCACCAATGCTTAGAAGAACTGCTGCAGCTATTAACAAGAACAATGCCCCAATTTGTTGAGTTGATTGTTTTTGCCTGTATGAACTATTATCAGATGCCTTGAAGTGTTCAGTGTTAGAATTATAGGTTTGGGGTAAGGGAAGAAGGAAAACAGATAAGATGGCTATCAGTTTATGAAAATATGATTGATAGATGTAATGTGTTACAATACCCTAACCTAAGACTCCTATTTATTCTAGTAATTAGGTAAAGAACTAGTACTACTAGTACAAGCCTAGGCCCACAAACAAGAAGACTAATATCTTATAACCCTAATTTCTTAACACTCTCCTTGAAGCTAATAACCTTATAACACTAAGCATTAGCTTGCTATGAGTAGCATACCCACAGACAAAACATATAACACAACCCATTTTAACAGGAAGCTATCACCAAGAAGAGAAAAGAAATTTGGCACAATAGCAGATGTTGAACCATCCAAATACGGAAAAGAGAAGAAGAAAAGAAGCAATGTTGAACCATCCAATGTCCAAGCAAAAGCACGAACAAGAAATGCTGAAAGCCATCCAGTAATAGAAGAAGAGAAGAAAAGCCTTTCAGAATAGTCTCACTAGAATCAACCTCAGAAAGTGCTGCAGATCTACCCAAATGACCCAATGAGAAATCAACACCGTCGAAAACACCAAAAAGAGCAAGTGAAATATGCTGAACCCAACAAAATATAATTGAAGGTGCTGAAAAACACCAAACTGCACATCTCTGGCCTTAACCCAAAATCACGGAGTGCAAGAATATCACTGGACTCAAAGAAAACAACCTAAACAACACCAAAGTTACACCTTGGAGAGTCGAAATCACAAGAAATTGGGACAACTCCTGCTCCACAGAACAAATTACTTTCACTTTAATTTTTTTATACTGACACAACAGCTACTGAGTGAAACCATTTACTTGAAGAACATCGATAACAGTTTAGCCTCCCCACTTACACATATTTGAACAAATGGGTTTTGTCATAAATGGCAGAAAAATTAACGATTGTAATTGCAGGAACATACCTCAAAATGAAATAAGTAAAGAATGCAGTGAAAAATATTTTTGTCTGATTCAGCATTGAGAATGTGAGTGAATCAAGATTCTTGTAAGAAATTTGCAACAAACTATTTTGCAGTGCATATATAGCTGCAGGAATTCCTGATGCAGTCAATGCACCAACCAAAGTCCACTCTTTATACACTCTTCTCAGACTACCTTCTTTTGCCATGAAAAACACTGCACATATAACCTAAAAGGCAGATTAAAGAGATGCATGAATTTTTCCAACTAAAAGGAATATTTTAGAGATACATATTTTTTCCCAATAAATAATAAGAGAAGCAAGGTACAGGTTTCCTAATCAAGACAATACAGTTCAAGAACTACCTTCACAATCTCACATGACAAAACAGATGAAGTGACAATAACTTCACGCCTGTGGGAAGAGAGGAAAATAAGTTAATAAGACATGCTTCATATGGTCATTCGCAATTAAGAAGTTAATTAGTGATTTAATGCACAAGCAATTTTTTTAAAAAGGATAATTAAGATATTAATATCCATTAATCACATGGACAAGTTTATTTTTAACCTGAGGTAAGCACATATGATTTATTCTTTTGATTATACTTGATCAACTGGATCTCTTCTATTGTTTAGAGACTTATTAAAGAAAATAGAAAGGTCTGTAGTCTTTTTCTTTTCCTTTCTGTGCATTTGTGTGTGTGTTTTTAGTGGGATTTTATATCCTCCATAGTGACACCATTGCAAAAGCCGACTTTGATATAGTTCAACATTTAGCTTATCTTGTTGAATTATGTTAATCTTGTGATCCTAATCCACCAAGTACCAACCAATTTTACCAACAACCACTGCCATACATAAATTGGAAGATAATTAATTCTGCTAACGATAATTAAAATACTAATTATCTGCTATGCTTAACCGAAAAATGACGACCAAATTCCAGGTCCGGGATTAAAAAAATAAAAATAAAGGTGATAGATGGTTGGCTTTGGCAAGGGTAACTTCAAATACACTTGTATGGTGAATCAAGAAGAAAACGGAAAAGCATGAGAAAAAGGAAAAAATTAAGTTGAATTTATGAACGTAAATCCTTCAAAAGAAAAAAGAAAAAAGAAAACCTGATGAAGCGTTTGGAGATCAAAGGTTGAGCTCCATATTGGAGAGCGAGGAGAAAGGAACAGAAGAGAATCTTTGTGTCCATGCCCTGAGCCTGAGTGGGCCCTCTGGACTTCGGTGGCGCCATTCAACACTTCAATTCTAATTCTTCCGATTTTGTCTCTCCGGCGTCGCAGTGGGGCATTACTGTTTATACAGTGGAGCACACGCACGAAGATTTTTAACAACTTTAAATAAATAATTGTTAATAATTTTATACAATATAAATAAAGCCACACTGAACGAGTCTTATTTTAAAAATTATAGAAAGAAAAAGTTAACTAGACTATGTCAGTCTATAATTGCTTCTGAAATGTGATATATCTAAAGTTCCTAATGTGTGTGTTTAAGTATAGTTAATCTTACAGATTATCGATATATAAACTTTTTCTGTCCCAATTTGTACTCACGTGATATACTCATTTTTTTTTTTGTATTTGTACTTTTTAAAAAGTTTAAATTCAATTTAAATTTTACTCTTAATTAATTTGATTTAATTGAGTGATGAAGTATATTTTTATTTAAATAATATTATATTCATTACTTAAACTTCTAAAATTTTTAATTAATCCAAAAATCAATTGTACTTATTCATATATGATAATGAATAGTACACATTATTCGAATTGTCAATTTTTTTAAATTAAATATTGACTGTACTTATTTTTTTTTATACACGAAGAAAAGCTAAGAATAACATACATTGTTTAAGTATAGCATTACATGAATGTTGACTATACTTATTCCTTCAAAACATACAACTACCTCTTACCAGACTCATAATTCATAAGTCCATTACTGATGTTGTCAACAGGTAGTATTTTATAATAATATTTTTTTACTGTATATAAAATTATCTGAATTTAAAATTGATATATAAATAAATCAATATTCATAATTTTTAATATAGACAAAAAATTTTAATAATAGAATATTTTTCAAGCTATTATTATTTATTTGTTATTGATATACTTCTATTCATCATTACTTTTTTCTGTTACCCTTAATAAATATATTATTTAGTCTAATGTTATAAAAAAATTTCTCGATCTTTCAGCCAAGAGCTTCTTTCTAGGTTTTCTCGGCAGAAAATTTAGTGGTTTAGCCGAAATGTTTTTGTCAATTTTCTTTTTGATGGGCATTACTTTTCTGTGACAAAAAAGTAATGTTTGTCTCATAGACAAAACAAATAGGACCATCAATTTTTTTTATCAAGATCTGACATCGTATTTTGATAATTTTATATATGTGACAGACAAAATTTTTCTACCACAACTGCATAAATATTTTTGCCTTCTTTTATATACAAATAAGGAGAAAATTCTGATGTCTCCTTCTTTTCTCTCCACCCAACCTCTAATCTCGCTGGCACCAATTTTGCAGCTAAAAAAGGAGGTAAATGGATGCATGAGATCATCTGCTTGTTTTAAATTTGCAAGAGGTTCTTATACTTGAATACATTTTCTTGTATAATAATTTTTTAAAAAAGTTATAATTCAATAAATCAAATGACTTGATCATAATTTTTTTAGAAGTTACAATTTAATAAACCAAATGACGATATCATATACTATACATCTAGCAGTTATTTTGAAATTGAAGAGAATCCACATCCTATATAAACAAGACTGTAAATGACTTTTTACTGGCATGTGAAAATAATCTTCTTGACTTTATTTTTTTTAATCACATGAAATTTATCTTATGCTTATCCTCTTTATCTTGCCGGCATATTTGAGAAGTTGTATGTTTTGAAGGAATTCTGAATTATTATTATTATTTTCTGGATGGTGGGGGCTTTTATTTAGGTTGTTTATTCAATGCCGTGGAAGAAAGGCGATCATGATATTTTCAGATGGTGAGGGACAATAGAACATATTGTGAGGTGATGGTGTTGAGTACCGACTTTAAGGACCATGCTAACAAACAAGAAGGCATCATAATCACCAGAAAGCTAGAGCTGTAGCTTATTTAAAGAATCTCATTGAGGGTATACATTGGCTCCTTTTTATTTTGCGTCAATAAATGGCCAGGTCACATAACCTTAGCTTCTTTTCTTTCTTTTTTTCTACCCTCTTTTTTCTTTTGATAATTGGCAAGGATACATGCGGATGCTGATTCATGCTAACTTTGTTTATCCTGAAAACGACCGCTAGGACAATTTTTGAGATTCTCCTTCCAAAGGTGGATTTTCTATTTTAGTTAAAAGAAAATATATATTTTCTTTTATTTTGTCATGCTCTTAAAAGAAAATATATACTTTTTGTGTGTTATTTATAAACTTAAACCCTGCTTAACCTGCCTCTGATCATGTTCAACCATTTGAGCAGAACGATGCTGGTACAACAGTTCCAGGAGATCCTAGTGTTCATGCAGATTGAGAAAACTGTGGAATGGGATTGCAGCATATGGCCAAAAAATCAAGACCTCTCTACACTCTAGTCGTGCCGCCCTTGGTGCTCATGATGCTGCATATGAGGAAGCGGTAGAGATAGAAACAGCCCATCCTATAAAAAGATCCCTTCTGAACATCTTTTGTACAGGCTGTAAAAGACAACAACTTTCTTCTAAAGCATTTCCATTCTAGGCTTTCAGGATAGCTAACTTTAAAAAAACAAAAAAAAATACTTGCCCCATAGGGTTATCCTTAGTTTTCCTTCATCTGCTTTAAGTATGCAAGCACATAAATCTGCACCAATTTTTATTCTGCACAAAAATGGCCATTTTGTAATGTGTATGATCTCTGTACATACAGCCTTGCAAATATTTACATGCATGTCACATAGTATCACATGGGTGGAGACATAAGATTTCTTCATCACATTGTCTATCAACTTTGCATCCCTTACTGGTTGGAAATTGCCAGGCTTACGACTCAGCATGATCATTCCATAAAATTGGTAGGCATTCGACTAACATATGAAACATATTCAGAGATATTTACCAGCGACAGATCCCAGGTGCCCCCGTTCTGCTCAATGCCACTATTTCCTCATACTTTGAGGGAAATACAAAGCCCCACAACTGCATGGATGAAAGAGCATTTGCTGATCAGTTATTTATTTATTTTTGATAAAAAGTTTTTTATTTTTTTACTTTTGCTTTAGGTAAATATCTCTTCAATTAATAGATTTGGTGGCCAACTACTCAGCTGGAACAAATAGATCAAAGGAAGAAAAAAAACAAAGGGTTGGGAAGGTTCAGGTGAATGTGTGAGTGAGGGGTGAGGGTAGATAGGGGAGCTTTACGTGTACCTCTACTTCCTTCACTTCAAAGTCTTGAGAATGTGCAAGGCAAGGATTCCCGTAAGTTTCTGAGACCGAACTTGACCCATTCAATCTTGAGTAGATGTAAAAAAAGAAAAAGAAAAAAAGCTCAAGCAGATGATATAGAAAGCAGCTAATAATTAGTTCGAGAGAGGAAAAAAATAAAGATAGCATACTGAAAGTACAAAGTTCTTACAGATCACCATCCAAATAAAGCGCAAAATGACCTCCCCCACCAATCGCTAGAAAGTTAGTGGTGCAAAGTGTGAAGTAGCGATTTACTCCTGCAATATTGTGGTTAATTCAGCATAGCTAGTCAATAGAAGAGAAGCAGCATTTGGAACTCCAAACCGAGCCAGATATTCACATTCTGCCATCATGGAGATCGAGTGCTAAGGTGGGGGTTACAAGTGTGTAATTTTAACTTATCACATTTCAAAGCTTAAGTAAAGCCTCGTACTGATACTGAATCTCACAAAATTACTCTGCTGAATCTCAAACAAACATACTACATCAACTTTTTGTGGGCCACTAAAATTGAAGTATATCAACCGTTTGAAAATTGAAAACTGGACTTCAATTATTACAATATTCTACTTATGGAAACTGTTAAAGATTCCAGAAATTCATCTACCAAGACATTCAGATGAACTGACACCGACTTAAAATTTAATTGCCTGATAAAAATCATTGCATGTAGCATACAAATTCTGGCGTGAGTGTCTGAAGAAAAGTGAAATCAAGCCTTCCTCAATGGGAATTGGTTCTATATGTTGAAAAGAAACATTTCCTTTAGCGAGATGTCATATGATCTCATGATTATCCATAAATGTAGCCTTCTAAATTTATATATATATATATATATATATATATATATATATATATATATATATATTGCGGGAAGGGGGGGATTCTGCAATATAGCCAAATTCTGAGCTAAAAAAGTATCATTTGTTTTAAAATAAAACGCACTTCATAGCATAATTTGCAAAATATGCACCACAAAACCCATGGGGAACTCATATGTCATTAAAATACCATCATCATTCGTCACAATAAATCAACTTCAAATAAATTCTCTCCTCATTCCACAACCTTTATCCCACTTTGGGGTCAGTATGGCTTTGAGATAGACAAATTAAAATATTCATTTAGTGGTTTAGTCATTCATACAATACAAGTTATTAACAAATAGAACAAATTAATCACTGATTTTATTATCAAGAAAAACACAGTATAATTATAACAGCAAAAGAAAGATAAATAATAGATACCTGTTGGGCGATATATAACAGGACGCCCAGAGGTATTTGTGAAAACAAATGTATTGTTTGTTCCCTGTACAGAATTTAATGTCAACAAGATAAAATAAAAAAGTAACATCATTGCAAAATGAAGCAGATAACAGTATCAGACAGTGGAAAGGATAAAAGGTGACCTGGTATTTCCTCTTGCTGGATGGTATAAGAGGTGCTTCAACCAAGCCACCAAACACTGCTCCTTTACGGTCTCCAACAACCTGGAACAGACAGAATAGCAAACATTGAGAACCAATACAGGACTGAAGAGTGCAGAAATTAGCCTTGCTGATTAAAGGATACAATAATGCATATATCATTGTTAATTCAGAGAAAAGTGAGCCAACCCAAAGTAAAGTATCATAATTCCAAGATGCGACTTTACAATTGAACAGCATAAACTTGTATAACCAGTAAGCTTACAACAGCGGACTTCAACTCAGTCACCTTAAACTAGAGCATGCTACTATTAATGACAATGTCAAAACTTGGTATCTGATATACAAACTACAAACAAGACTATTAGAACTGTTGGGATTAAAGATAAACTCAGCCATTTATCCATACAAAGTTATCAAGGTCACAAATATAAACTGGAAAAAAAAACGTAATAAAATCACCATGAACCAACAAAATAGTTGCTTTCTTTGCTTCTGGCAAATTCGAATTACCAAAAGCTTGTTCATGTTTAAAATATGTACCTCCTGTCTGTTGGTTTGGAAATAAAAATGGAAGTTTAAAGTAAATAATTGGAATTAAATATGATGCAGAACCTATTTTCACTCCATGTGCTACTCAATTTATCAGTCAAATAAAGTCCAAGCAAACATCAATTAGCCTACTCAGAAAGAAAAGGATTGTTTGACTGTTAACTTCTTTGTTTTTAAAAAATTCTCAAAGCAGAACAGACATAGATAAATCATAAATACATGCTTAGATAAACATATGCTCAAGGGCAATGAAACTGTACCAGCAAACTGATTCCGGGCCAAATCATGCTTCTCCGGTAAAGAGTTGAAAGTGATATACCATGCTTCCAAGTGCTGCATAAAACACAAAGAGGTGATAGAACAAATTAATCAACAAGAAGATTTTGGAACTTCAACACAGAATGGCAGAATCTCGTGTCTGCCAACGAATCTACATATTTACATACCTGTATAACAAAATCCATTTCCTCCCATGAATAAGAGCCGGAAGTGAAGCATACACAACACTTCTTATATTGTCTGAAATAAGCATTGAAGGTTCAGAAATCTCTGGCAGATGATCAACCAAAGGTACCACCACAGGCTCTTTAACAGGCTGAAGCTGCCTCATCTCAACACCATGCCCATCATCAAACTTGGTTTCATAACTATCTCTCCGGTCTTGGTTGCGAAATCCACCCATTCTGACAGCTTGGTGGATGGCTCTACCAAGTGATTGCTTACTCCTAGAAAACAAACTTTTCTTCACAACAAGATTTTCTTTCATGGAAGAGTCTGATAAAGGATCATCACCAGCTGCTGATGCTGATGCTGCAGTTATATCATCATTCTGTCCATCATTGTTATCTCCAGAATCCGAAGAAGACAACAAAGAAAAGAGGAATGCAGTGAAGGATGAAGTATCAGGCCCATCAACTAAATCATTTTTTTCCTCTGATTCACTTCCCTTTGACTCATCACCCACTTCTTCTTCCTAAACAATAATCATATAGATCTTCCATTTTAGCAGAGGATAATGGATACCCTTAAATAAAAAAAAAGGCCTTTAAAAAAAAACTAAAACATTGCCATTAATTCAATTCAATTCAATAATTATAAGACACAATGTAATTTAATTTTTTTTGAGAGAGAGAGAATGAATCAGAGAACTTACGGAAGGAGGAGGAGGGGGTTTGGAGGGTTTGTTGTTGTTGTTGTTGTTGTTGTTGTTGTTGTCAGAGATAGGGTTGAGAAGAACAGTGGTGAGATCAGAAACGAAGTATGCTGCTTTGCTCCGCAAGGATTGCTTTTTACCCATTTTGTATTACTATTTATGGAATTGAAGGAATCAAGATTCAATTTCCACCGCAAAGAAAGAAAAAAACATGGGATTCCTATATTCCCAACCTTGAGTGATGCTCTGAACCATACGTAATAAACCCAATCCCTTTTTTGTCTCCGGCAAACTCGATTATTATGATCTAACTTTATAAAATATTAAAAGACGCAATAAGGCGGCGCATAGTTTTGTCCTTGTTATTGTTGTTGTGATTAGTTAGTTGTGATGGTGCAGAATCGCTTTCCATTTTTGTTGAGTCACCAAACTTCTTCTTTGGGTCCACCACTTTCAGCGCGGCTCCCGAGCCTAGGTCCTTGGTTCGGATACTAGCGGCAAATGTCCAAAGCTGCAGCTTAACCGCGAAAATGTCAATTTTAGTATTGCTAGCTTCAAAGGCTACGTAAATTATTAATGAAATCCCATTATCAGTGAGACTTCATGGCCCAATGGATAAGGCGCTGGTCTACGGAACCAGAGATTCTGGGTTCGATCCCCAGTGAAGTCGTCTTCATTGAAGATTTGAATTTTGTTTTACTTTTTTTTTTTTTTTTATCTTTTTAGTACAATTTTGTTTTATTTTAGGCTTGATGTTTAAGTTTGTTCTCATAAATTAAAGGGGAAAACTAGTATTCTGTAAAAAATGTTACCAGCTCACCCATTGATTTCTGCACCAGCCCTTTTTGTTTTTTATTTTAATTACATGAATGGGACCCACACGAATTGTTCTTTCAGCAGGAAAAATTGGTTTAGTTCCAGTTACATGATGGTCACTTTTCCCTAAATTAAATCCATTTTTTCATTATAAGGAGGGGATGTGGGCATAAAATAGTAAAAATAATAATAATAATTTTTATATATTGTTAAAAAATAATAAGATTAGTATTATTATTTCTTTTTCCAAAAACTACGGGAGCTCCTTCGAAAGTCTTTGATATTGAAAAAACTTATAAATGTTCATAAAAAATGATAAAATAAGATTTAGATATTTATACGATAATTCCTCAATTTCCATTGTTTAATCCTTCAATTGAAATCGCAAACAAAAGATTGTGTTTTCTTAAAGCTTATTTTTCTTCTCAATCTTTCTATCTTCGTCCATTTAGTATAATTGATCTAGATAAAATATGATAGGCTCATCAGAGGCCGAAATACATAGAACTAGGTTCAAACTCACAAGATTCAGAGTGGGACGCGATGGCTTCCACCGCGCAACACAGGGCGTGATGCCACCATTGCGCATGAAACCACCCTTTAACATAACTTCAGAGATAAGGAATCAATCTCAGGAACTAATAAAGGTCCACCGCCAGTGGCGGAGCCACATGTTGGCTTGAGGTAGCCTCGACCCGGACTAAATTTTAACAAATTGTACTTGTCATGTATAATTATAATTTAGCCCGGTTTAAAATTGTAATTTGGCCCGGGCTAAGATTTATAATTTGGCCCTATCAAAAAAATAAAATATATTTGGTGAGAGATTTGGGTAAGTTGTATTAAGTTATGTGTTCCATTTTCACTTATATAAAAAAAATTAAATATATTTAATAAAATTATAACTCTATTTGATACTGTCTGCTCAGGTGTTTTGTATTTAATATAATTTAAATATATTATAATATGAACTAACTAAAATTAAAAAAAAAAAAATTACATATAATTTTTTGGCCCGGGCTCCAAGTGGACCCTGGCTCCGCCACTGTCGACCGCGCCTTTGTACAAGTAAACAGAAGACAACACCAGCTTGCCACCACTTTATCAAGTTAGCCTGACATCAAGAGATAAAGTTATAGAAGCACCAGCAGAACCTGTAGCCCTTGAACAGTCAATCAGAGGCCATACCGCCTTCCTAAGGTGCATCAGAATCACTATATAAACAGAGGGTACATGCCCAGTTATGATCATCTAGTTCAATAAGAATACACATAAACCTGACATTGATACTGACTTGAACGTCAGAGTGTCATTGCAAGTACCCCGGTCAGGCTCACCGCTCCGAAGAAGAACCAAAGTCCTATCATCATCATCAATAACAACCAGCCCAAAAGACAGATTACCTAAAAGTCTTCTTACTTTAACTGTGTATGATTTGGCCCAATACACTTTGATCAGCCCATATTGTATTTGGTTTGATGGTACCAGAACATTATAGCCACGAATGGCTTCCTAAAAAATTTAAAGACTACACAAAACTACTGTAATCAACTTGTACAATGCGTCAAACGATAATCAATTTAGTTTATTAATTATAAACATAAATGGATTAATATTTCTTAGGAAATAATTTTATTTTTTATATACACATAAAAATGTATGAGATCTATGTGGAGTCATATTAAATGAAGAGAAAAAAAAAAGAAAAAAAAGTCTCACACACTTTTATGTGTATATAAAAGATAATTTTATATCTTATAAGATTAGAAACACTAATTCCAAACATAAAACACTATTATTTTACCTTTTAAGTCAAGTTCGTTTAGCTTGTAAATTAAATGGCTCAGGTTAATATATTTAATTTAAAGGGGAAAGCTCTTGAAGTTTGTATCACTCACACGTAATGTAATCCACGAAATACATAGACAAATTATTTTAAACGAACTCTCTTGCATGAGATCCACAGTGACAGATAAACTTTTTTTTTCAGCAAATACAAAAAAGTTAAACCATTAATTTAAAGGGGTAGGATATTGTAACAACCAACTAGTGTTACTATTAATGTTATTACTAATAAATTTCACCGTTAGATTGATTATGTTGATCCAACGATTATATTCATTTCCATTTTTGTATGATTATGATTCCCTTTCACATTAAATATAAAAAATCATAACCATACAAAGGTAAAAATAAATATAAAGTATTAAATATGGAAAATCATAACCATACAAAGATAAAAATAAATATAATCGTTAGATCGATTATGTTGTTACAATATCCTCCCCTAATTTAATTGCGTCGATACTTTATCGATCCAACCGACCGTATAAGAAAAATTGGGCTATTTATATTTTTTAAAATTTTTGAAACGATTTTTTTAATGTTATAGTCAACATGCTTGCAACTTCAATTGAGATACTCAATTATTCATAGAACCTCCTCTGGGTTGTCGCACTCATGTTTTGAGGGATTTGGCCGGGGTTGGCCTTCAAAGGGCCTGCATTATGTAGTGCGTTTTTTTTCAGTTTTTTCTTTGATTTAAAAAAAAAATCAACATATTCTCTTATAAAATTCAAAAAATCACAGAATCGAGATAAAACAAAATTCATTTAAAAATAAAAGTAAATTGTAAATTCGAAACATATCAAATATATAAAATTAAACTAAATTTATACATTGGTAACTAAAAGAAAAATTAATGTTCCAATAAACTAGCCAATAGAATAAATTTACTTAAAAGCCTATTCCCCAACCCCCCCCCCCCCCCCCTAATCTTTCAATGTTCTATTTCAATCAAAACATTTTAAAAATAAATGAAACGACTTAGTGTTGTATTGGAACATTATAGATACGAGACAACTTCCTAAAAAATACAAAGATTACACAAGAGTAAGGATGAAAGTGGGCAGGGCTGGGCCAAGCTTTGTCCCGAAAAATTCAATTCTCTACTAAAAAATTCAATTTGGTCTGGCTCAAATCTAGTACGAGTCTAACTGTTAGCCTGACTTTACCTGTTTATAAAAAAATAAATGGTCTGCCCTAACCCGTTAGTCTGTTAATTTTTAACTTCAAAGCAGAATCATGAATCAACTTTACAAAATACTCAAATTCTGTTGTTAAACCAAAAACCATAATATCAACATCCAAACAGAATCATGAATCACAACAAAACTCATACAATCTGCAATTAAGTCACTTTCAAAAGTAAAATGCTCAAATTAAATAACATGTATTTCATCATATTCAACAAACAAATTCATATTATGTAAATTAAAATAACTACATGAATCCAACAAACACATCATGATGCTTGTAGTAAATATAACATCTTCCAAAAACCTTTTAATATATTCACATACACAATCTAATATGCTGAGATATTGGTTCCTTCTATATAAGAAATAAAGTTAGATTTCTATTAAAATATAATCGAATATAATTAAGTTATAAATAATTGCAATTGATTAAATTTATATCTATTATTTTTTTCTTCAAGGCATACTTATTCTATTTTATTTTATTTAAAATAAATAGTACAATATAAGCTGGCTCGTAGGCTTATAGGCCAGGCCTTGTGAAAGTAGATCTACAACTTTTTTATTAAATAAGTTTTTTCAAGGCCCAAGTTAAGCTTATTTTATGAAATATATTATGTTAGTTCTGATCTGACGTAGGCCGAGCCATAGGCTCGTGTAGGCCAGCCCGGCCCAGCCCAATTTCACCCTTACACAGGACTACTATAATCAACTTGTACAATGTTCAAACAACATTGAATTTAGTTTATGGCAAATGTAACTCTCACGTTATATAGAAAATAATTTCCTGCACACACATTAAATTTTGAATTATTATTATTTTTTATAAAAATAACGAGCCCGGCAAAATATGTGTATGTAGGAATCAAAATTTTTTTCTTACAATATGATAATAGTGTTATAGTAAGTGCTTACAGGTTTATTGTTTTTCATGCATGCTTTAGAAGATAAATTTATTTTTTACACACATAAAATTATACGAGGCTCGTATTTTTTCTTTTTCTTTCTTCTTCTCACATAGGCCCACATAGATACCACATACTTTTACTTTTACGTGTATATGAAAAAAATTATCTCCTAAACATTAATTTGTTTGGATAGGCTTTTTTCTTTCCAAAAACTACATTTAAAAAAAAAAGCACTTTTATAAAAATTCCATTTAGATGAATGTTTTTAGAAAAAGTAGGAATCATACAAAAAAGACAAAAAAAAAAAAAATTGAAACTAAAAAATTTTAGCTTCTAAAAAATAAAAAATAAAAGTCAAATATTTTTTAAAAAATTTAAATTACTTTAACTTTTGTAAAAAATATTTCTAAAATAAATAAAGTATAAAAAAAATTGGAAGTGCATTGAAGCGGGCCGGTTAGCTTATTTTAAATGATATAAGTTATGTTATTTTAGGATAAAAATAAATACAAAAAATAAAAATTATGAAATAAAAAAATTATTTTGTGTCAGTCTTTCTGTTACCATGAACGTAATTTTAAGTGATTTAAAATCTCGTAACTTTTCGCTTTCACGAAAAACCCGTTCTTACCTTTTTAACATTTTTTCTTGTATAAATGGTTAAGCTAGCATAACTGCTTACATTGCTTTCAATTTTCCACGGTACATTCTGGACAGAGATCGTGAAACACGCAGTGACAATGGCGACATTGAAGGTTCCTGCTCAAGTTCCTTCTCCGTCGGAAGACAGTGAGCAATTGCGAAAAGCTTTTCAAGGTTACCCTCACCGATTCATTTCTTTGATTTCACTGATTTTGATTTTGTTGTTAGATCATCGATCCATTCACATTTTCTCGATCTTTCTCGTTTGGATTTTCGTTTTTTTTTTTCGTGTCTCTCCGTGATCTCATTGCGCGGGTCTTATTATATATCATCGCGCTGATGGCTCTCAACTTTTACTTAGATCGTGGAGTAATTTGTTGTTGTGCTTCTGATCAAATTTTGCACATGCATTACAGTAATGTGATATGTGTTTGGTTAATGCAGTCGCTGATTATTATCTCCGGTTGATGAATGATGATGATCATTGAGATTTGGTTTCCTCTGTGTGTGTGTGTGTTTTTAATTTTAATTTCCTTCTTAGTGATTTTGATTTGCTCTTTTTGCCTATGCTATCAACTCAACTAAACCGAACGGTTCCACGCACACGTAATTGAACGCAGTAATAAGCTACCTGTGTAACAACAGATAGGATTTTTATTTTTTATTTTTTTTAATACTTTTTGTGTGCGTGTGTTCAATCTCTATGAAATGAAGTGCAAATTACTATTTCAATCTCTATGTTTGTCATGGCATGAGGCCCTTTTTATTCTTTCATTGCACGAGTTGTTGTCACAGTGACATATCTTTTCAGGGTGGGGAACGAATGAAGGATTGATAGTATCAATCCTATCTCATAGAAATGCAGCTCAGCGTAACTTGATTCGCAAAACCTATGCTGAAACCTATGGAGAAGATCTTCTTAAAGATTTAGACAAAGAGCTTTCAAGTGACTTTGAGGTCAGTTTAAATCTCTTGATATCTGGCTTCCTTATGTGAATCCCAATTTGAAGCCCTTTTCATTTTCAGAATTTTCAATTTCACTAACAGTTAAAAAATAAATAAAAAATTCACTATCAGTTATCGACTTTTAAATTTCATACTAAATAATTTTAGTGTTCTGTGTGGATAACATTGACTAAAGGAAACGGATAGGTGCAATTATGTATCTTCGTGTCTAATGTTTTGAATATAACAGCGGGCTATGGTAGTGTGGACGTTGGATCCTGCTGAGCGTGATGCCTTTTTAGCTAATGAAGCCACTAAGAGGTTGACTTCAAACAATTGGATCATTATGGAAATTGCTTCCACTAGATCTTCACTTGAACTCTTTAAGGCAAAGCAAGCATATCAAGCCCGTTTCAAAAGGTCCATCGAAGAAGACGTTGCCTATCATACTTCTGGGGACATCCGCAAGGTAAAACCTTAAACATCGAATGTACTAATTAATTTCTTGATAGAGAAAAGTTGCACGTTCTTACATAATTTTCAGAGGTTGATGCCTCTGTTTGATGTCATTTCTTCATCAATCAGAATCTTCCAAATTTATGTAACTTTTTGACTTAAAGGAGAGTTTAGGAGAAGTGTGCCTCAGATTTATGTCAAATAACACATGTTCCAGATTTTTTTTTTTAATCTCCTCTTATTTATCATTGGGTTCATCTACCACCGACTCCAATTAGCTTAGGTTAAAGGTGCTGGTGCTGTTGATGTTGAACACATGTTCCAGGATTATGTGCACCTTTAGAGACTGGTTAAATCCATTCAATCGAATTGCTAGATTAGGTAGCTAACCAACATGCTATTTTTTAATTTTGCATTATTATGCTATGTCTAGCTCTAACAATCTTTTTCAACATTTTTTCCCTATGACCTGATGAAACTTTATTTCTGATACTTTAATAACAGCTTTTGGTTCCTCTTGTGGGAACATTCCGTTATGAGGGGGATGAGGTGAACATGACATTGGCAAAATCTGAGGCTAAATTGCTTCATGAGAAGGTTGCAGAGAAGGCCTACAATCATGAGGACCTGATCAGGATTTTGACAACAAGGAGTAAAGCTCAGTTGAATGCAACACTGAATCACTACAACAATGAGTTTGGAAATGCCATAAACAAGGTATAAATGTTTTGGCCGTTTATGACTTCTGTTTCTCTGTTTTCAACTTAACGTTTGGCAACTACCCCAGTAAATAGGCAGATCTAATATAATGCCAAACTTGTGTTGTCAACGATGATCACTGATCACTTCAAGAAACATGATTTCCAGTTATAATCATGTTGTAGATTTATCAATTACTACTATTTAAGGGCTTATATTCTGGTTTGTTACTTAAAAAATAAAAAGAAGAAGACAAGATAGAGTTTGTTATTAAGCGATTATAGGATTAATCAGTGACTTGTAGTCGAACTGACAATTGGCTTCTGGTTCTGGCTGCAGGATCTGAAAACTAATCCGGAAGATGAATATCTGAAATTATTGAGGGCAACAATTAAGTGCTTGACCTACCCTGAGAAATATTTTCAGAAAGTCTTAAGGCTGGCTATAAACAAGCTAGGAACTGATGAATGGGCCCTTACAAGAGTGGTGACAACTAGAGCTGAGCTTGATTTGCAGCGAATTGCTGAGGAATACCAAAGAAGAAATAGTGTTCCCCTGGACACTGCAATAGCCAACGACACTTCCGGGGACTATAAGAACATTCTCCTTTCGTTGTTTGGACACGATAATTAAAGAGTCTTACTGTGTTCAGTTGTCATGGAATTGCTGATTACGCTATCTGCTTTTCCTTTAATCATCAATGTGATTTTGCTGTGGATCTCCGCACGTAAACACTATTAGAATAATGGTGCTGGTAGTAATGCTTTTCCTTTTATCATTCGGTTGCCTGGCGGTAATGATGCTTGTGAGATGCATCAATTATCCTGGTGGTTTTTTTTTTTTTTTTTTACTTAAAAAAAATGTTTTGAGTATGGTCGGAAATTCAAGACATATAGCTTTACCTCTTTAATTAAATATGTGTCTTTTTTTACCGTTATTTAGGATCAATTATTCCTACAGCCGACCTACTACAATTCACAAAAGTCCGGCCTATAGGCTACCAACTAGGCAACTATAGCAACAATATCAATCTCATACAAAGCAAAAACCATACATAGTAAATAAATTCTTATTACAAGAAAAAAAAAAAAAAACCTTAACAACTTTATTAGTCCAATATACGATTATGTATATCAAAATAAATAACCATTTACATCCATTATGGTATCACAAATTCATTATACTGCATCGAGGGTTATGCCATAAATATACAATGCTGATAACCCAACACACTGATCCTTCCAGTCAAAACATGGGAGTTCAGAGGAGTTTATAGAAGAACGCATACAGTAAATGGACGAATTTAAATATCAAGTTTAAACCAGGGAAATGCTGCTTCCTCCACCAGGGGGTCTGCGGGAACCAAGTATGTTGTCTCTGTTTTCTGCCTTTCCATCAGCAAATATGTCACTCCCAGCCATTTCTCTAATGCGGCCACCTAGTATATTATCTCTGTTTTCTGCCTTTCCATCAGCAAATATGTTACTCCCAGCCATTTCTCTAATGCGGCCACCTAGTATATTGTCTCTGTTTTCTGCCTTTCCATCAGCAAATATGTCACTTCCAGCCATTTCTCTAAGTTTAGCCATGCTCCGAAGCTTTTCCGTTCCCTTGAAAATATTATTGTCCGTCAGTTCTGCAAACTTCTGGTCATGTGTTTTCTTTGATGTCTTCTTAACTGCTTCTTCATCAAATAAGATATTCCTTTGGCCACCAGCAGGCTACAAAAATTTTAAAAACTAAGGTCAAAATGTGATCGAAAGGAGGAGGATAAAGCACATGAGCTAAGGATGGGGAAACACATGAAAAAGAAATGGAAGAATATACAGTTATTTCAAAAAAAAGATTGTGCCAACATTGTAAAACTAAGAGAAACACATCTCTTCCTTTAACAAAAAAATCCTAAAAGGAGAAAAAAATATATGAAATGTAAAAAAGAATATGGAAACTTTAAAAGCACGTAGACAAATTGATGGACTTCTTCAATACAATGCATGTGGTGTTTGGTTCTAAACTCAAGATAACAGGCTCCTGTTTTGGGGAGGGAACAAACATTATTATAGAAAATTTTAATATCCCCAAATAAATGGTATTCCTCTAGAGCTGCAACTGTATTTCTATTACAGCCCTTGGGTTATATCTTCATAAAATTAGTAAAATTGATCTGCATTTGAATTTCGCATTTCAGGAAAGCATAAGGTGACATTGGTGGACCATCAAGGGTCAAAATTCATCATTATGAATAGCCATGAAGATGTTATAAGAAGGAATTAGAACAGTAAAAATTTCTATGGCCATTCATCAAATATAAAATGATAGATAAGATTGACATGATTGGCTTTCATGCCCAGAAGACACTTACATTAGAAACTTTCACTGATCTGCGCACATTTCGTGGATCAGATTCTCCCATGTCTTTACTTTCTTTTGATTCCAAAGTGCGTGGAGCAGCCAATGAACGAGGCACAATTTCCTGAGGAGGGCCAAATATATCATTTCCGCTGAGCTCCTTTGTCTTGGCACTTGAAAATTGCTTCTTACTATTTGTGTCTGGCTCGCTTTGCAATGTTCCACTCAGCTCACGCTGCTTTGCTGCCTCAGGTAGAGAGGCTGGTTTCTTAAGAGAAATGCTTTCTTCAGTGCTGAATGATATCTGACTAATTCCATTTACTGCTTGCTGAGATGCAATTTGCAGCAAATAAAACAAGAATATGTGAGAAACACTCATATTCATATGGTCAAATCTCAAATTGCCCTCCGAAACAAGGAAACCATCTAGTATACCTGATATACGCGTATTCCTGTTCTGTTTTTTGAATTTGCAGAACTGGCTTCTGATGCAGTATCTTCAGCATTGGCCGAAAATATACGACTTCCAGTTGTCTCTTTCATTTGATTCCGTGAGCATGGTTTCCTGAGTAACACACATGGAAGGATATGTTTGACAACAAGATTAGATAACCTGAACCTTTGAGCTTAACTACTAGCCAACAACCTGTAGTTTGGATTCATCATTTCCACAAAAAAACAAAGAGTAATAAATACATTTCAGGGCCTGATATACATGCTGCAGCATACATGCACATGAAAAACACTTTAGTAATAGTTACGACACCGAATTATGTCAGAAAGATAGGTTAACAAATAACAATAGAGGTTCCTTTAACTAATCAATCATGAATATTCACACCAAGTCATGCTTAAGTATACAAAAAGAAATTCCAGTTTACAAGGAATTTCATGTCAATTGTTCCTCATAACACAATTCTCCGAAGTTCAACAACAAGTGAATGCAGGAGACCAGTGATTGGCTTCTTCTCAACATGTTCGGGAAAAAATTGAAATGAATGATTAATTAGAAAAATGCATAGTGTTTCCAATATTCCAAAATAGAACGGTACGGTGAAAAAGGAAAAAGTAAAGCCAAGCCACATAGCAGCAAAAGAAACACCGAATCGAATCACAGGACGAAGCAATCAAAAAGAGATATTCATAAAAAGTTACAACGAAACATTGTAGATCTGAACGCACTCAATATTGAAAAAAAAATTGAAAAAAAGGAAAGAAAAAGACGTTACCTCTTGGCTAGACTCTGTGCTTCTTCCTCGGAGAGCTGGCCTCCACGGAGAACATCACCGATTTTATCAGAAGGCTGTGAATCCGATTAACGATTTGAAGAACAAACAAACAAACAAACAAACTCATTATATATATATCTTCATGAGATATTGAATTGAACTAAAGAGAATCTCAAATTTTCCGCAGAAAATAAAAAGAAGTTAGTAATTAATAGTAGTAACCTGGCGAGAGCGGTGGCCGGAGCGGGAGACGGCGGGAGCGGAGTCCTGCGGAGGGAGTTCCGGCCACGTTAGAAGATCGGAGGTGGAGGCGTGCGGGTTTCTGAGAGGCGTGCTTCTCTGCATTATTATTCTCTTTGTTGGTGTTCGATGATTGAGGGTTGATTCAGTGAGAAATGGTAGAGAGTGTGAGGTGTGCACGGGTGAGAGGGTGATTTTATATTCACCAGATTCGAAAATGCGTTTCAACGATAACGAACAATCAAAATTATCTTCTTCTTTTCTTTCTTTTTTCTTTTTTTTATTTCCTCCCCTCTTTCAATTTTCCAATTGAAACTGTTACTTTAAAATTTAAATTTATAAATAACAAACTCCGGAGAGATACTCGCTACATGCGCTGGACATGTGTCATTCCACTCCTTTATATGACTATTTAGAGTACTTTCCTTCGCCCAATGGGTGCAGCTCAGTTGGTTCCTTGGCGCTGAGTTAGTGGGGTTGAACATGTGTTCGATTCCCGCTGAATGCATTCTTGGGGAGGGGGCTGAACCTTTAGCCATCACTGAACCCCGCACTCCGGATTAGTCTCATAGCCGGCTCAAAGAGTTGAAGCTTGTGGGGACACCGGAGGGAGCCAACTCGCCTCAAAGAGGTAATTAGGATTGGGTAACTCCAAAAAAAAAAAAAAAGAGTACTTTCCTTGACTCTTGATGAATTAAACGAGAAGATGTATTAAAAAAAAAAAGGGGAAAATGTTTGTATTTTTAAATGATATAATTTTGTGTCATTTTAAATTCTAATCATTGATTTTTGTTAATCAATGATTACGATTTATTGAATTTTATTATGAATCACTAATTAATTAATAAGTTTAACCCAATAAATTTTAACTGATGAAAATCAATAATTAAAATCTAAAATGACAGAGAATTATCTCCTTTAACATATAACCGTTAATCAATGATTAGGATAAACGTTTTTCCTATTAAAAAATCAATTTAGATGTAAATCAATGATTTATGATATCCAATGTTATTAAATCCGGCCCGATTATTGACTCGGTCGAGGTATTGGGTCACTAGGTCACTGATTCAACTGCATGACCTGGTAACTGGTTAGTATATGTAAATTTATAATTTATATTAAAATAATTATAAATATACTTAAATACTTGTAAAAAAATATATCAATTTTAAATATTTTAATATGAAAATAATAAATTACACATCATTGTCCAACAAAAGATCAATCAAACATATAATATTTGTGATACTAGTATTTCAGGTTCAGTAAACGACATCTCTAACCATAAATCAAATTAAAATTTCCTGCATATTGCATAACCAAGATAATATTAGTGTTGTAGCCTTGTAGGTACATATCTATGTAAGTTAATAAGCTACAAATCACTCAAATATTTCAAAAGAAAACAAATTATTTGTGTTTGAGAGTAAAAAAAAAGAAGGCATTAATTTATGAAAATAAATCAGTTTTTTTTTTTTTTTTATAAACCCGGTCGGGTCACCGGTTGAACCAACCGGATCACCGATTTTTACGAAAACCGACCGGGTTATTAGAGTAACATTAATTTGTTAGGATCCTGATTGTAACTATCACGGTTTGTTACCTTGTATATTAAAATAGATTAGCTTGATTTATGCTTTCTGTTCCTTAGTTTTAGCTGATTTCCTGATGTAAATAGATTAGCTTGATTTATGCCTTCTGTTCCTTAAGTTTAGCTGATTTCCTGATGTAAATAGATTAGCTTGATTTATGCTTTCTGTTCCTTAAGTTTAGCTGATTTCCTGATGTAACCAATTGTAAATCTTGGTCTATATAATAGACCCAATTTTAATATATCATCAAGCTGCGAATGACAGCAACTTCTGTTATGGTATCAAGAGCTTGACGATCAACAAGCCTTCATTTTTTTTTTTTTTTTTTTCATCATGACTTCCGCACCTAAAACCTTCAAGGTTTCTGATTCTAAGTCACCCTTTTACCTGCACCCATCCGACAATCATGGTACTGTCTCCAAAGAACTAGGAGATTCTTCCAAACCTAAAGTCACATGCACTTACTGTGGCAAACCTTATCATGACATAACAAGATGTTATCAGCTGATTGGTTACCCAGATCGCCCCACTCCTGGACGCAGCCCTCCTCCTGGACGAAGCCGTGGTCGTGGTCGTTCATCCACTGCACGATCTCACCCACAATCTGCTCGGGCTACTCATACTTCTCTACCTTCGGTTCCTTCTGAGCCGTCATCAGCATCCATCTCCATGGCAGATTTTACACCAGAAGTTCTACAACATCTCATGTCCTTGGCTGTCTCTTCTGCCCCTCCAGTTGATAAACTTACGAGTAAGATTTTACACCCATCTTGGATCATCGACAGTGGTGCATCCCAACACATGACGGGCACACTCTCCTATCTATCCAATGTGCATTCTATTTCTCCTTGTTCTGTGGGACTGCCGAATGGAGTTCATGATATTGCTACGCAATGTGGCAGCATTACTTTGGGCTCTTCTCTTCATCTCTCCAATGTTCTTTATGTCCCTTCGTTGGCTTGTAATTTGATTTCTGTATCTCAGCTTCTGCGCCAGTCTTGCTTGGCATTGTTTGTTAATTCTGTTTGTTTGATACAGGACCTAAAGCAGAAGAGGACGATTGGAACGGGTGTTGAACGAGAAGGGGTGTATATATTGTGTGCATCATCAGCTTCTGCTCATGTTGCCAGTACGTCAGATTCTGCAGCACTATGGCATCGTCGTCTAGGACATCCATCTTCCCGTTATTTATCTTTGTTACCTTTTATTTCCAATGCAAATAATTTGGCTCCTTGTGACGTTTGTTGTAAAGCCAAACAACCACGAAGTCCTTTTCCTATTAATAATAAACGTTGTTTACATCCTTTTGATTTACTTCACTGTGATATATGGGGGCCATATCATATGGCATCTACAACTGGTGCCCGCTATTTTTTAACTGTAGTCGATGATTTTAGTAGACATGTTTGGATTTTTTTGATGCGCAATAAAACTGAAACTTCCACATGTTTACTTCGGTTTCTCCACTTGGTTCGCACCCAATATGATGCATCTGTTAAGCGAATTCAGAGTGATAATGGGACTGAATTTTTGTCATCTGTAGTCCAAGAGGCTCTCTCATCCTACGGTATTCATCATCAATTATCATGCACTTACACCCCACAGCAAAATGGACGCGTTGAACGTCGTCATCGTCACATCCTCAACGTGGCTCGTGCTTTGCGTTTTGATGGTCACTTACCTATATCTCTTTGGGGAGAATGCATCTTGACCGCTGCTCACCTCATCAACAGGACACCGACTCCACTCCTTGGTGGTCAGTGTCCCTATGAATTTTTGCATGGCACTCCACCAAAGTATGATCACTTACGGGTCTTTGGGAGTTTATGTTACACTACTGTTTTACCCAAACCACATGACAAGTTCGCTCCTCGCTCCCGTAAGTGTGTGTTTGTTGGCTACCCTTTCAACAAAAAAGGATGGAAGGTCATGGATATCTCCACTCATGAAATATTTGTTTCTCGTGATGTTTTATTTCATGAAACTATTTTTCCATTGGCTGCAACTTCATCTGCACCTTCTGTCCATGTACCGTCACCACAAGCTGTCTTCACCGATTATGATGTGGCACCTGTTACTGCTATTGATACTCCCACAGCGGAGCTTGATGACAGGGGGAGTTCGTCCTCCCCAGTTCCGGGTTCTATTACTTCATCCACGGATGTCCCTGGTTCACCGTTTCCGTTGACAGAACCCAACACTGCATCTGTGGCAGATATTCGTGAACAGCGTGCCAGACGTCCCCCATCTCATTTAAAGGATTATGTATGCAACACAATGACTACACCCTTTCCTCGTCTCTCCACTTCTCCAATCGACTCAGGTATTCAATATTCCATTGATCATTATGTTTCTAATGCATTATTTTCTTCGCACCATCAGATTTTTCTTGCCGCCGTGGATAGTAACCTGGAACCCAAATCATTTAAAGAGGCTATGCAATATCCTCATTGGCAGAAAGCCATGCAAGCCGAAATTGATGCATTGGAAGCCAATCATACTTGGCAAATTCAACCTCTCCCTTCTGGTAAGAAAGCTATTCCATGTAAGTGGGTGTACCGCATCAAGTACAATTCTGATGGAACCATTGAACGCTATAAAGCGCGTCTGGTTATTGCTGGGAACAATCAGATCGAAGGAGAAGATTACACTGAGACTTTTGCACCGGTGGCTAAAATGACAAGTGTGCGTACATTTTTATCTGTAGCTGTAGCTCGAAAATGGAGCATTTTTCAGCTGGATGTTCAAAATGCCTTTCTCCATGGCGATTTGGATGAAGAAGTCTTTATGCGTTTTCCTCCCGGTTTCTCCCAAACCAAGTCTGGTCACGCCTGTAAGCTTCAACGTTCACTTTATGGTCTCAAGCAATCCCCACGAAATTGGTTTGCTAAGCTTCGTAGTTCTCTCCTCAGTTTCGGCTTTGTTCAGTCTCGTGCTGATTATACGTTGTTCACTTACTCGACTGGTTCCCATTATGTTGCTATACTTGTCTATGTAGATGATATTTTGTTGGCAGGTAGTGATCCTTCTCTCTGTGACCGTGTCAAAGCTCATTTACAAACCTGGTTTAAAATCAAAGATCTTGGTCCCCTCAAGTATTTTCTTGGCATTGAATTTGCTCGAAGCAAGACCGGTTTGTTTCTTACTCAACGCAAATTTGCTTTGGATATTCTTAAGGAATGTGGACTTCAAAGTTGTAAACCGGTTGCTTATCCTATGGATCCCAATCACAAGCTTGCTCTTGCTGAAGGACCTCCGTTTGATGATCCTAAACGTTATAGACGTATTGTTGGCCGTCTTGTATATCTCACGATTACACGACCAGAACTTAGTTATGCAGTTCACACACTTTCTCAGTTTTTGCAGCATCCTATGCAGATACATTACGATGCGGCTATTCGTGTTCTTCGGTACATTAAGTCCAATCCTGGCCAAGGACTCCTTCTTCGATCTGACAGTGATCTTCTTCTTCGTGCCTATTGTGATTCGGATTGGGCTAGTTGTCCCTTGACTCGAAAATCAGTCACTGGTTATTTTGTTACTCTTGGACATTCTCCTATTTCTTGGAAAACCAAGAAGCAAAACACAATATCCCGCTCCTCTGCTGAAGCTGAATACCGTGCCATGGCAGCTGCGACTTCTGAGCTTATTTGGTTAAAGTCTTTTCTCAGCTCTCTTGATATTC